ATATGGCTCTACGAGCATAATGCGACAAGATACGCGCCAGTATTCGAAATGATGGGCGTACCGATGTGGCGCGTTGCTCATCTTAGTGATATTCCCTATGTCTTGAACAATGCTAACCTGGAGGGTGGGGCTGATAACTCCCCAGAACAAATGGAGTTGGCACGGGAGGTGAGCAGACAGGTGATTGGGTTTGCGCATGATGCGAGTCCTAGTGACACATGGCCTGCTGCATTCTCGGGGATCAGTGAACTGAGAATTTCCAAGGATACGCCTGATCAGCTGTCGATTCAGGTTTTCGGGGGTCCTATGGGGTTGGGGGCCACCAGAGTCAGCAAAGGTGCGGATGCGGGAGGATCTACAGAAGCAGAAAAGGCAGTGTCATGGGAAAGACTGTTTGACCGGTGCGAATTCATCAATAGTGCGCAGATGCGAGCGGAGGCTGGAGTATAGTATTACCTGCGGGATTTTAATGCTAATGTATGCCTGTCATGAGAGAATTGTGGAAAGTATAGGTTATGGGAGCAACAATATTTAGATGCGCGTGCGCAGATGTTCTTATGCTTCATCATCATCTCCTCCCTCCCTCTTGCTTTGTTATGGTGTGAAAGGAAAACCCCTCTTTTTATATGACATGAGTGGATATATTGGGGTCATTTAGGTAATAGTCTAAGGGGCACATCCCGGGGGAAAGTCACTGGAAATCAGCTCTTGTAAATGCTCACGCTAATTCGAGATTCGTACCGTCTTCCTAACCAATGTGCTGCTGATCTGACTATTCTGCACACGGAAGCTCCAGATCAACTTGCCAGACCGAGTGCATTGCAAGGCCGTCACCTGCCGTATTTCTAGCCTCAAACGCTGCATTTATGAAAAGTGTCTGATGGTCCGGTTTCAATGGAATCGCATCATCCGTACAGTGACTCGTTTCTACAACAGCCGGTGATGTCTCAGGATCAAGTCTGGACAGCTTAGTGACAACACTCGACCGTCCATAGTCGATAGCCGTAAAGTGGGAAGGTTCATTCCCAACAACAGTTCTATCCCTCCATTGTGCAATCATCGCACCCCATCCTTCATGGATATGGCCAAAACAGTGCATCCGCGGTCTAGCTCTCGCAACAGCTTTGAAAAGCCCCGGACACCCAGCTCTCCCGTTCTCAGTATAATCCATGATTCCCCTGGGAGGGCTATGAGTAATCACGATATCAACATCCTCCTCAATCTGAAAATCATGTCCCCTTTCAGGATGGTACTGAAACCCCCAGTCCCCGAGGGAGGGGGTGTACGGACTGGCATAGAGGTTGAGTAATGCTCCGTTCGGTAGTGTTATTGAGTGCGTACCCTCATCTAGGAAAATAATGCCGTTGTCTTGTTCGTTCTTGAAGAGGGTTCTGACTTCTTCGTAGTCTCCGTAGACTTCCTTGACGGAGGGATCATTTTTGAGACCTGCGTCGCTGATCTTTTGTTCGAAGGTTGGCGTGTCTAGGGTGAAGTCGTGGTTTCCAGCGATGACAAGCTTGAGTGGCGCTTTGAAACGCTGGAGCTGTTTGATGGTTGCTTGGAATTCGGTTAAGCAGGAGGAGTTTGTGAGGTCACCGCAGTGTATCACGACGTCTACCGAGTGCTCGAAGCATGATTCGGGCAGCTCTGCGCCGTGGGTGTCGGAGAGGATGAGGAAGCGGGTTTTGATGGGGGAGCGTGACATAGTTGCTGTGGGAATTAAAGCTGTTGGTAGAATGAAAATAATGGGTGTGAGGCAGTGAAAAGATGATACTTATAGGATAGGAGTATCTAGGGAAGTTCCTAAGAAATACCGTGACGCTACAATTATGCCGTGACTCTATACAAGACGGCTGGTTCAGCCCTACAACATCATTACGTCTGTGAACTTCCGAATGTCTGACTCAGTCAACCCATGAATAGCTAATAAATGGGAAACTAACACCAGGATAAGAAGTTCTTCCTGAACATAAAAGAATGTAAGGGGACGATTAGTATACTGGTGATGTACAAAGCTGATTGGGATGGCGCAAGAGTCTTGGGCGAGACACTAGAAAGAGAAGATTGCAAAATACTAGCCAGTGAGTGTGACTACCTATAATCAATCTTCCTAATGATAGGTATGATCGGCATGGGTATACTTGTCTAATAATCATGGAAAGCTATGCTATATTAGTGGCCTAAGGCATCACATATGCCTAAGGTACTCACCTATGTCTGGCTGCTTAAGGCTGCGACAAAGTCGGCACTATGTACAACAACCCTCCGGGGTTTACCACCAAACCGTTCGAGAAATCCTCCATAGTATCAGTCCAAAGTCTCCTGTAGTTCTAGGGAGATCACGTGTACTACACTATGCGGGGTAAATACCACGTGATGCATGTGCCACCCGATCGCCGTCCCTCCAGTCTCTCAATTCTTTGGCACAGAGAGTGTTTGCATAGTCCAATTCCCTGCAGCATTTATCCCTTGTAGCTTTAGGCTCATTCCTGGTTCATTGCTATCTTCATCATGGATTGATTGCGATTTTCTGTTTCACTCTGCATTCACAACTTGTGATAAACTCAGCTGTGAAGATATTATAATCAACCCTGTTTTCGCCCAATGGCTGCTACCAACCTGCGTATCCGTAGATACCTCGGTCTCTGCAATTCAGGAGCCGAGTGATGTGGGGACCTGCTGACATGCATACCGAGGAGACATCCCTCATATCAGCTCTTGTCTTCCACCCAGCTGTTTGCCTCTCCTGATAATCAGATATCGAGACACAACAACATGGCAGCATGCACTCCCAGCAAGCCCTCATCATCCACAGAAGGGTTCTTTCAACCCCTTCCCACTATCCCCCCGTGCTATAGCTTTACTACTGCAAGCGCCCGAGGAAACCACTCTTCATCCGACGATGTAGTTTTAGGCCGAATCCTGGAGCTATACCTTCCCCACAACTGCGGCAACGTTGGCCACTCCATCCACAACCTCTCTCGCCGTGCCCTTGAGCCTAGAGTACTTCAGCACAGTGTTGATGCAGAGACTAACCCGCCTGCTCTCCGTCCGCTCACCACATTTGGTGAGGAAAACCGAGTTGATCCGCTTTGGACATCAACTGGTTGGAAGGCTCTTAAGGAAATTGGTCAAGAAGAAGGCCTCGTGAGCGTCGCATATGAGACGGACAACACAACCTGGAACCGCCGTGTGCATCAATTTGCCCTGAACCATGTTTGGTCTGGTAGCGCTGCTATGACAGGGTGTCCTGCGTCTATGACGGACGGGGCAGCAAAGCTGCTTGCAGCTCATCTCGGCGAACCGGACGGGGACCAGCCTGGTCGTAGCGAAGTATTTCGTGAGGCATACCGCCGCCTCATCTCGCGAGATCCCAAAATCGCATGGACAAGTGGACAGTGGATGACGGAACGAAAGGGTGGCAGCGACGTGCGAGGAACCGAGACGATCGCACGTCGACTGAGTCGCGAGGAACTGCTTCAAGAAGCCTCCCATCACGATGCGCACGGCATGCCGCTTGGACCATGGCGTATTGATGGGTTTAAGTGGTTCAGCAGTGCGACCGACTCGGAAATGACTGTCATGCTGGCGCAGACAACCAAAGGACTCAGTTTGTTCTATGCACCAGTGCGGCGGCGTGCTGGCCGGTCGGCCTCATCTTCGAGCGGGATTGAGTTGAATGGCATTCGGATGCAACGGCTGAAGAACAAAGTTGGCACCAAGCAACTGCCCACAGCGGAGTTGGAGCTCAAGGGTGTGCGGGGCTGGCTGATCGGGGAAGAAGGCAGAGGTGTAAAAGAGGTTGCGACCATCCTCAATATTACCCGCCTCTATACAGCGGCCGGTTCGACGGCAGGATGGGGCCGCGGACTGGCCATTTGCCGGGCATATACGCGGGTTCGCAAGGTCCAAGGCTCACTTCTTGAGGACGTCCCGCAGCACGTGCGCTGGATGGCGGCTGAGACAGTGAAATACGCGGCGGCCATGCACTGGGCCTTCTTCGGCATTGCCCTGCAGGGAACCGTTGAGCAGGATTGGGACCTAATGGTTCGTAATACCAAAGCTGCTGCCGTAATCCCGCGTGATAAGAAGCAAGCTGCAACTTTGCTTCGGCTCATCACGCCGGCTCTAAAGGCCCTGACCAGCGTGGGTTCTGTCCAGGGACTCCGAGAATGCATGGAAGGACTAGGAGGGGTTGGCTACTGCGAAAACAATGAGGATGGTGGGGTTCTCAACGTAGCCAGAATCTTCCGAGACACGCTGGTCAATCCGATTTGGGAGGGTACGGTTAGTGTGATGGCTGAGGATGTGGCGAGAGTCATTATGGACCGACGGCTCGGTGAGGGTAAAGTCATCGAGAACGTCTTCCGGCAGTGGGTGCACAACATACTGCAACATTGTCAACGAATGTTCCCGGATGAGTGTGCATTCGTCACGAAAAGACTAGAGAGTCTCGTCCAAATTGCAAATAGGGCTGACAAGGCGGAGCTGCTATGGCGTGGAAGGGAGATAATTGGTCATTTGCAGGCCATCGTCTGTTCTTGTTTACTGATGTATGATGCTTGCACTGATGAAAATGAGGTGGCTGTGATCGTGGCATCAAGATATGTTCAGTCATTTGCGGACTCTGGCATAAAGCCACCATCTCAGTGGGATGTTGAGTCACGGAAGGACAACATGATATTTTTGGGAGATAATGTGTCCCGTGCCGTACATGGGAAGCTTTGAAAAGGTCAGAAATGAAATATGTGTCTGATTGTTTGGGAATGGCGCGTTGCTGTGGACTTCAGTTCATAATACTACATTGTTGAAAGACGAGAAACTCGTGAATATATCTCTCACACTCATCATGTGATAACTATGGAGATTGGCTACAAACTTACACCTCAATCAGCAGAGCCTTTACAATTAATGGAAAGTTTAAAGATTATAAGAATGATATTATCACGTCGCAACCAAGTCGGAAAATACATATTAGGTACATAAAGCTAAAGCAATATCTAAACAGAAAACGTCTTCACAACCTTCTCGTTCTCCCTCTTTAGAAACCGCTCGAATGTCCCGAGGTCGAGATCCCACTCCTTTGTCGCCTCCAAATCCGCAAACTGTGCCATGTCTCGCATCGCCAACTGCGCTTCAATGAGCGGGTTAACAGCAGCCTGGGCTTCAATCTCCTCCTCAGTTAAGTAAGTAGCCTTGAGATCCCGCCCTGTGGCCTTCACGAGCTCCTTCACTATCTCCTCAACGGTCAACAACTCCCCCGCAATTTCAATCTCCTTGCCATGAAACTTCTTATCAGTCAGCGCCATTGCTCCAACTTTCCCAATATCCATCGGATCCACCAGTGGGATCTTCGTCTCCGTCGTCCACGCAGTAACCCAACATCCCTTATCCACTAATCCAGAATACATATACACCATCGGCGCTAGGAAGTTTGTCATAAAACTTCCAGGACGCATAATAGTCCATCTCTCAAAACCCATTGTTCGAATTTCGTTTTCCAGCGCCTGTTTAGGAAGCAGCATCTTCCCAACGAAGCCAGTGGGCGTGAAGGTACGGATCTTGTGGGGTTCGTTGACGGCGAAGGCGCTGCTGTAGACAACATGCTTGACACCAGCTTCTTTGGCGAGAGTGAGGAGTCGCCGGCCGCGAATAACTTCGATGTCGGGGTTCTGGAAGTCGGGGACCATGTTCAGGAAGAGACCAGTGCAATTGGCGAGACTGGCTCGGAGGGAGGCTTCGTTGTCGTAGTCACCCGCAATCACATCAGCACCCAGGGCGCGCAGGTGCCGTGACTTTGTGGAGAGCGGGGTGCGGGTGACGGTGTGTACTTTGATGCCCTTTTCATGGAGGTACTTTGCTATGGCACCGCCTTGGGTGCCGGTTGCGCCACAGACGAAGACGGACATGTTGAGTGGTGGTTTGGGTGATGAGTTTGGTTTGAGAGTGACTGGAGAGGTAGGGAGCAAAGACGGTATATTGATGAACTGTAAGATAAAGATAATGTTGATGAGTACGTTAAAATGTAGAGGACATTATGGCTATTTATATAGGCGAGCATTGGGATATTGTGGAGGGAGAGTAAGTACTTAGTGTTACTTAGTACTACTTAGTAGTATACGAAGTTCACCGCGGCGTTCCACTTCCTGGGCCAAGTATGATTGGTTGAGCTAAAGTAGCGGGCGGAACTCCGCCGCCCCACTGATTGTTTCCTCCGCAGCCATCTTACGTTGGGGTTTTCACTGTCCACACAGGTCTCCAAAATTATTTGCAGCCTCGCAATTCTTCGATCAATTGGGACCCATGAACTCAGCAGCAGAGCGTACCAACGCCCCACCACGGCGAAAATCCTGCGAGGCCTGCAAGATAGCCAAGCGACGCTGTGATCTTGCCTGGCCAGCTTGCTTCCGATGTGCCCGCCGCAATCAGATCTGTGTCTATCCTGGTAGACAACCACAAAGCATGGACATGGAGGCGGCATCGCTTGCAGTAAACCTCTTGGAAGATCCTCTGTTTCCAGCCTTTGCCGAAACCCAGTGTGTGACCGATATCAACACGCACTTCCCAGATGTAGAGCAGTTGTCTTGTGCCCTCGAGCTTCCGAGCCCCGGAACCGAAGTTGCCAATCTACTGGCCCAAATCCCGCCCCTGCAACCTCCTATGATGTCGCTACCACATGAAAATCCAAGTACCACTGTGATCAAAACAAGGTCTGCGCTGCCCATATCGACAATAGTCGCGCAACGCCTACAGTTCGGCATGGATGTGCTGAAACAAGCACCCAAAATGATGGTCCTCGAAGGCCAGACGCCCTGGTGTCATCGCCAATTGTACAAGGACGGCATGCCCAGGTCAATGCAAGGTACATTTATTGCATTCCATCTCAACTTTGTGCTAAACATTGCAGATGCCCTCGCCTGCTGCGCCCTCTACATGGCTCGAAATGATATCAATGCTCCTGTCATCCTCTCTTCCTTCAAAACCCGCATTGACGACTTGTGTGCATCACCGCCACCGAGCACGCCTCTCGAAGCACTTGCACATACCCAATCACTGATACTATATCAGATAATGCGCCTGTTCGACGGGGACATCAATGCCCGACTGTCCGCTGAGCCTTTTATTCCCATGCTGGAAACATCGGCCTTCAACCTTCTGAACTATATATACTTCCCAGCCGCAGAACCCGATACTGCTCTTACCGCGCCCATGGACGTCGTAATGCAGTCCTGGGATGAGTGGGTATACCAGGAATCTGCGCGTCGCACCGCCCTTTTCACGTTTTATCTGGTGCAAATATACCGTTTAGTGACGGGCGAGAACAACCTCACCTGCGACGGCCGTCTGGGTCTCAACCACTCATGGTACCTATCCGCACCCCTGTGGAATGCGCAGACTTCATTCGACTTTGCCGTTGCATGGAACGAGCATCAGCATTTTGTGGTCTGCAATGCAGATTTTGGCCATGTGCTTGATTGCGCGCGACCGTCTGATGTGGACGTTTTTGGACGGATGCTCCTCAGTACGCTTTTAGGAATTGATCAAGCTAAGGCTTGGTTTTATTCCAGAGGAGCTATTTTATAAGACCCAATTTTGAAGCTTTCACTGCACATGTTGCTGTGATATTTATCTTCACCAATGGTGTGTGGACGACGACCTCGATCTTCACAGAGCACACAGACTCTGTCCCCCATGCAGTATCATACCGCCCAGCGACCGGTCCATATATTACACTCCGTCTTCCTCTCTGTGCCTCATCTTCCGAAGATACAACCTGCTCAATGAAAGAGGTGTTGGCTATACTTTGGAATGGCACTCTGTTTTCCTACCTCTTGCTCATTTAGCCTCTTCACCAGAGGGCGATGACATCCTCATTAATTGGTTCTGTTCGATTTTTCTTTGCCTGTGGCCTTCCTATCAATCTACCCGCTCATTTTATCAAAGAGGCGACGTGTATCAAAGGCAGTGTGGAAGAAGAGTTTTTTTGATCAAGCTGGAGAGCTATGCATGCAAGAGTGGATGTGAGCATATAGAACAACCTGACTAACTGACAAGACATCGATGCCTTGAACGAGTTATAGCGCTTGACAATCTGGCCAGTCTTCATCGCACCTCTTCCAAAAAATAACAAAATCGGCAATTCAACAGGGCAAACTTCGAGCCATTACATCATAACTGGCTTCTTCACCACCAATCTGTCGGCAGAGCGTGATCCGGCCTTCCTCATTGAGGAGAGCAGACAGGGCCTAGTAATAAGACGTGAGCCATTAGTACACGCCACCGGTGCCCCTCCATGTTAGCTTGATCTAGCCTCCCAGCTAGTTATTTTCTCTTATCAATAAATTGATGTTGCTTTATTGTGTGACCACAATGCAACCTTCTTATCTATGGGGCATTTTCAGATCTCCGCCTAAATTTGCGCTGGCTGCGTCTAGTTGTATCTACATAAGCCCCTTTCAGTATATACCCTCACAGTAAGGAGTCCGTTGGTTGCATTATGAAGGTCTAGACCGGATGTCCACGCGACGTCGTTATATGATCCCTGCCGGTCTCCCTTATGTCGAGTAGATAATTCGCCAGTAATCTTTGATTAATTTCGGCTCGACTTTCCCGGTGATGGTTAGACACTTATCATGTGCTTTATACATGGTACTAAATTAGCTCGCCGATAAGACAGCATTAGCACAAGGCTGACAGATAAACCCAGAACAAATATTTGTCGTTGGCCTTGTTTCGCTCTCTCTTCCTATTGAAAATCCTGCAGTTTCTCAATTTCTCATCCTCATTGCAATGTGTATCAAATCAGCACCTGGAAAAAAAACATTATCTGTTACTGTTACCTGCAGAGATCCGACTATTTATTTACCAAGCAGTATTCGAAAACCATGTCTGCACTATTGAACGAAAGCCGATTACAGTTCAGTGTAAAATCTCGAAGTGCTCCTTGAAGATACAGCGAAACCCCATGCGGCATCATTCATCAGTCATACCCGCAACCTGCAATCACTCAGAATGTGTGACAACACAGCAAAATATTCTTCAATCTGATCAGTACACTGGTATCGCGCCTCAAATTGCGTCTCAAGACTATCCTCGGCCGCAGGACCTTGCAAATAATTCTATGAATCTTTCTTTCCTTCGCACCTGCCGTCAGATCTACTATGAAGCCCGACATTTACCTACCCTATATGCGCACTATTTTCTTCACCCAGCAAGTTGGAACCTTCTCCAATTTTTCTTTTTGTTTACGACGCTGGCAAGTTCAATCAATACAATATCTCAAGATACGTGTTCCACCTCGGCAAGGCATGGATACACACCTCGCTGAATGGAATGAGACTTTCTCGTTGATCAGTCTCGGTTTCCCCAATCTCGCTGCCATCTCTATCCAGATTTATCTTCATTTTCCTGTGCAGGCTGTACGAGACACTTTTTGGGATGGAGGCCTTCTCGAGCTCTGTCGCCTGAAGCGTCTCCGGGGGGTGAGGCTCTCCATCTCCGAATTTGATCCTGCATGGCCAGCCACCAGAGACCCCGTCGTCTTCTTCACATACGCGGCCGGCTCATTGCCTGATTTCATGGATGAGATCACAGACAGGAACAAACAACTGCCATCCCTCCTGCAATCGTCATTGCCATCCCATCAGACACCAAAACACATCTGTTTCCGCGATGCGCGCGACAAACTCAGGCATCGGGTTCAACAAGACACGTCCATTGGTGTGGAGTGGGCATCCCCTGACTCCTACCACAGTGGCCAGCTCTTCTTCCGCTTTGCTCCCAATACTTTCCCGCTCTACGTCCGCAACCTGATCCACACCCTCCCCCGCCGGTGGCCGCATCGAACCCACGCGCACATCCGGCGCGAGGATCGCTTGCATAGGAATAAAACCGACTACGCGTACGTCTACATCGACAGCGCGTCGCATCCGGAGCACAATCAATACCCAATCTTCGGGTTCCAATACAACCCCAATCTGAGGCGCCAGCATAACGAGCAGTACATTGCACAAGTCTAGCAGCATTGCGGCTGTCCCGCGAGCGGCTCCGGCATTCTCTTGCTTCTGCCCCTTATTCCCGGCACCGGCAGCGAGAGGATGGCGACCCCCGACCATTGTCGCAATCATCTAGGGACCAGGAGCGAAAGGAAGAGCCTTGTCATCAAGCATCCGAGGTTATGGTACCAGCTCCTCGACGCTGGGCTAGTCCAGGTTTTCAAGAAGATTTCCCTAGTCGCCGAGCGCTGAGATCCACAGTGAATGAAAGACCGGGCGACTGGAGACGGCAACTCACAGAGGAGGCATTTGCGCCATTCATTGAATCGTTTCCGCTGGCACTTTGATGGCGGTTTGGGAATCCGCCTTGTTAGCAGGGGGTCTCATCATCACTCATCGGAGAAGGGCGTGGAGAAGGGACCTCATCTCGCGGCGAGATGATTATTCCAATACCCGAGGTCTGCCCAACGCAGACATGGGCGCCAGGGTCAAACCTCTCTTGATCTTTTAGGTTTCTCTTTCTGAATTCGTTTGATTTCCTTGCGGGGGCTGGATGGAGGAGAAGCAAAGGTCACAGGTGGGGGGACATGGCCTCTTCTGCCCCACCGGTGACCATGTCCGACAGTTTCGGGCTAATGCTCTCCACGTGAGTCGGACGAGCATTTGTAGCATCACTCTCAAGTCAGACAATGGGCATGCACGAATCATTGCCAAATTTGTTGCATACAAACATCTCGATACTATACACTGTACAATTAAGGATAAAGGAAGCAGTGTAGCGCGCTCCTGGTCTATTTAGTTTGCAGTAGTCGCCGGATTTCGGGAAATCTCAAGCGCCGAGCGCTGGTTTCCCCAAGGTTCGGCTTGCCGCTGGCGATAAGGGGATCCTACTCATCATCATCATCATCATCATCAGCATGAAGGACCCGATCAGTGCGCCAGTAATACACGCTATTCCTTCTTTCAAGCTGCCTGACCCGAGCAGGCGGGAGGTAGACTTCACTGAGTCTTCTTTTTTTGCAGAGTCCGGTCGATGCCTCCCATCACCGGCGGAAGTAAGGGCTTTATCGGACGATGGTGGCATGGTCGCTGAGCCACGGCCTGTAGTTTTTGAAGACCTCAACCTTCTTGTGAAGTTTGGATACTGTGTTACAGTCACAGAAGCCCAGTGCCTCTGGATGCTGAAACGAGTTTTCGGCGATAAAGTTCCTGTACCAGAACTCTATGGATGGCGGATTGACGAACAAGGTCATGTCTTCATTTACATGGAACTCATTCGCGGGCGAACGTTGCATGATAGCTGGGACGACCTGGATAGTGATGATAAAAAGGCGCTTTGTGATCAACTCTGTCAGATCATCGGTCAATTACGCCAACTAAGGCACCACCCTTCTGACAGCAAGTATATCGGTGGGAGCTCCATCAAGTGTACACAGGGATCCTGATCTAAACTAACACAACTTCTCTAGGCTCTATCAGCCGCCAGTCGCCTCAAGACTATGTCTTGCGGGAACAAAAACCAACTGGTCCATTTTCCGAGATCAAGGAGTTCAATGATTGGTTCACGGGCTTGCCCCAGGCCCGACTTGCCCCCTCAGACCGGTATGAGGATCCATGGCGGGAATTCCTGCCGGACACTGGGGATATCAAATTCACTCACGCTGATCTACACCGTGGTAACATTATCGTGTCCTCTTCTGGACCGGCTCGTGTTCTGGCTATTGTCGATTGGGCCCAATCAGGATGGTATCCTGACTACTGGGAATATTGCAAAGCTTTGTATACCTGTTGGTACGAGGATGAATGGCGCCGAGACTGGATCGACAAGTTTCTCTTTCCTCGAGCGCAGGAAGCCTTAATCTTCTCGGAATACACAATGGCCATGGGTGCTGTTTAGGATCAACACACTCAGACAATCCAATCACATGAATGAGTGAAACTGATGAATAATGAAAATGTAGGCAAGGCGTGTTGGGGTTTCTTTGTTTCCTCTTTAACGAAAGTACATAATATGGTGCTATTATAAACACAAAGTTCAGTCTCCATAGCCCTATACTAGATAGCATACAGGAACAACCCGTCACCTTACATCCCGACAGAAAATGCTATCATTCTGCTATAGTCTTCAATATGAATAGATACATCGCACCCATGTTGGTTTCAATTAACCATCCTTTCCGCACGAAAATGGGCGTTTCTCCCATCAACTCAACTAACGTCCAGCTACGCGCTGCAATCCAATTCCATGGGTCGGCGGGTCGCGCTTGGACTGCACTATCTCGATCGCCCCTTCTCCAATCAAGCCTTTGGAAACTAGGTGGCGGATAAACTCCATTGTCCATTCTTGACACCTCTTGTTCGTGGTCTAGGAGCACCAAGGTGAAGAAGTTAGAAATCCCTTGACCAAAAACATGGAAAGAAGTGAAGGAAGAAGCATGACGGAAACAGGCAGATAGGAAAAAAGGGTACACAAATTACCTCGTTGACAGGTGCCATAAAGTTCTCGCTTTTCCGAGGAGTTGGAACCTGGCTTGCAGCGATTTCGATATTACCCTTAGGGCTGTTGTCCGTGCCCGGTGGTCCGTCGGGAGAATCGACAATGTTGGCCCCAGAGACTTCCCCTATCGGAAAGATCTCGTACCGCTGTTTGGTAAACTTTGGGGAGTAGTTTCGCTTGAACTCGAGCATATATCCTGCCATTGGCGCACCAACGGCATGGTTCCTGTATCAGGTTTTGCGGCCGACGGAACAAAAATCGCAAAGTGCGCCCTTTGGGTTGCAATACCGCGGAAGGACATGAGGTAAACAGTGCGAGTAGCCATGATTTCGATTAATTTTTCGTTTTTTTGTAGAAGGTCGTCTTGAAGAAAGGTTAAGCAAAAAAAAATTTAGTAACTTGAAATTGTACTGGTAGCAGAGCAGAGGCTTGTCGATTGTGATCTTGTTGAGACTTCACATTCGGGGCGAAGTAGTGTATCTTTATATCTTGTGCAAGTCATACTTTAGGCCTCACCTGCTATAACTTGTTCTGGGCTTGCTGCCGAAGGATTGCACCGGAAGCCACTGATCGCAAGTCATGGAATGCGGAAGTCCAATCATTCCATGAATGATGCTCTGGTATATTTCGTTTGAACGGACCATCAATCCTGGCGGCAAACTGATCCATATGTTGAGATGAGGCAGTGCTTTCTACTCTTTGTCTCCGAGTAGCGTTAGCAGCCGCCGGGCATAATGGATTGGCCAGAAGGGGTCGATGGTTTGACCTCGAGCTTTGGCCGGTGTATTGCGGCGCATCACAAATGCATGGGTTTGAGCGCTAAAATAGACGCCAGCCTTGCCCTAGTAGCTAGCCTCCTACGTGTGCATATCACTATATATCCGACAAATGTGGTTGGTAAGAACGAACGACAGCTGACAACATGGGTGGCCCACGGTTCCTTGCCTGGTTCTGAAGCGCCACGCTAGATACAGCCTTGCATAACCACATTGGAATGTTGAAGCCAATGGTGGTCTAAATATGGTCACTGGCAGTCTCGCAAAGACAGGATCCACATTCTTGTGTTCAATTAGCGCCTTGATGCAGTCTAACAAGATGTAGGAAACAGGATAGTCTGAGCACAATTTGACTTGTGTTGAGGAAAACAACGTGAACCTTACATTGTGCATATACTTGCAGCTCATTGCTTAGTAGAATGCGGAGAGCTCGAAACGTTGATATAACAGTGAGCAGCACTGGCACTCCAACCCTGGATTTCCTGGAGGTGGGCAGGGTTCGCTCAACTGTGACAAGCACATCCTCGCCTATTGACCACACCCAATTCAAGGCGAAAAAAAAAAAACTCCCAACTTAAAATGATTGGCAGTTGGGACTCTCCGGCACAGGATACTAAGCGCCCGGCCGATGGTTAGCGTAAGGGAAGAGATCGATATGCATAAGCGCTTAGTACCGCAAGTGTGAGGGCCTAGTCACCGTAGAGAAAATGACAAAGCGGCTGGCGCTTAAGTTTTCGACTCGTAATTTGCTGGATACTTTAGTGGATTCGGGCGAATACCAGAGAATTTGATATTTTAGTCGATACAGACAGCCTACAGGGCGCTTCCAATCTTACTGTTCAGATTATTGGACCGATATTGTCCACAGATGTTCCGGCTTCCACTTTCTAGTACCCTCACACCCTACTGGCGCTATCACACTTGTTTAGAACGGGTCTGTATCGGCCTTGGGCGGTAGCTGCAGGGGTACTGGTGGCCAGAATTTGTTTATGGGATTGAGCCCTGCGCGTTGTCTCAGCCAAGCGCTAGAGCAGCCAACTAGTCTTGAGTGCTTTTAAATTCTATTCTGATCTAGTACACATCGCTCAATCGCTCACTTGCTTGTACTTTACCATACTAAATAACATGATTAATCCGAGTTGGACCCAATGGGTCTGGACTTATGTACTGTTCTTTCTATAACGTTGACCCTTTCGTCCCGAAACCAGACTGTCGCCTATGAAAGGAATTGGCTTCCCGTCGAATTATCTCTTAAAGTTGCTTGAGATCCTGGGGTCAAACACCTGAGAACAACTGGTTGCGAGGTGTATTTAAAGCTGCAAGCGGAAATGGGGCCAATACATAGGTTTCCCTCTCCTTTCTGTTTCAAGGGCGCAAATCGGTCATGACAAGTCTTTTCTCCAGTTCCTTCCTCTATCTGTGTGTTACTATTTTCATTTACTGTTCTTATTCTTTGTTGTTATCGTTATCACCCAAATCTAATTAGCTTTTGTTGAGACCAATAAGTCACGCCGTCTGCCCAGTAGCCAGAACTATTTTGTTCGAGTCTACTTGGCCGAAAATAGTGTTGACGAGTTGTGAGCCTCCCTCTAACATAATAATTCGACTTTAAAACGTTTGAGCTTGTTCATTTGAGTGTTTAAACAAAAGATGTTATCAATAAATCATTCAAATGTTTTACACGGAGAGCTATATAGAAAAGCCTTCAGCTAGACGAATATTTAGAAATAGAATCTCCACTCCAGAGCCTGCAGACATGTCAACTTACAGAAAGAATACTATAGTACAGCTAGTCCGGGAGAGCTGTACTGGATATCGGAATTACTATTTTGCCTGTATGTTGGCCAGTGATATTTGGCCCACTTGGCAAATGCTGTTCTGACAATCAACAACGAACGCATGTCCATCTCGTTAGATTTTCGCTGGCAGAACACTAGGAGATGCAATCACAATGCTCGTTATGGTGCTTGGAACGAAAATACAGGTTACTCAACCCAAAGACATCGATGAAACTCAAAGTCCGAATAGAATTGAAATTGTTCGCTTCCTATAAAATGGTAGTGTGAAGCGTGCATTTAGATAATCTTTTTAATCTTGGAGAGTGGGTTAAACACCAGTTGACTTGGCAGGATTCCCTGTCATCCTCCATAGATTCTCCATTGGTCTGAACGGGGCTGTTTAATATCGGCGACCCGCCCTTGGCTTCTACTATCATCGTATTCTCGCCATGAATGCATCTTGCGCCTCGGATGATATGTTTTCCATCTTCGCCTCATGAAAGGTAAGTTTCTAAACAGCCACGTTTGGCTCGTGCTTTTTGAAATGAAACCTTTCAGAAATTCTGGGGATTGACGAGTTGATTGCACCATATGCAAGAAATTCAAAGTTCGAACTCGAGAATCCGTGAGGGGTAAAGCGGCTAGTCCTCCGAAGCGGATTAGTGATGTCTTAGTGTTGGAAAGGTTTTACAGAGAGGGTGGGGTTGCGCGGCCGGGAAATTCCCTCGGAAGCAATCAGTTCCTTCCATCTTATCTGATCATCTGATTATCTCTACCCCCCTCCCCCCGGTCCTTTTCTTGAACATTTTTGAACATCTCAAGAACTCAGAGGGGCCCTACTTACTTCATACTCAGTTCATACATTACCCCCATCGCCAATCGATTACTCGCGTCTTCATGGCCAGCGAAGGCCTTCCGAAGACTCCGGATCTGTCCGATCCCGAGACCCAGTACATTTTAGAGGGCAATGCCAGGTTTCGCCGGCTAGGATGGAAGCGCCTCACGGTCATTTCCATTGTGGAGGCTATTGCCCTCGGGAGCTTGGGCCTGCCTTCTGCCTTCGCTACGTTGGGGATGGTTGCCGGTGTCATTCTCACAATTGGTATCGGACTCGTAGCGATGTATGCGGGCTATAACATTGGACAAGTGAAACTAAAGTACCCCGAGGTTGGGCACTATGCAGATGTCGGCCATCTTCTCCTGGGGAATGTGGGAGGCAAAATCTTCGTCGGCAGCTTTGTTGCCCTATTGGTCTTTGTCATTGGGTCTCACTGCTTGACTGGCGCAATTGCCTTCCAGACCATCACTGAAAGCAGCGTGTGTTCGGTGGTCTTCAGTATTGTCTCCGCTGCCATTCTGATGATGCTCGCCATTCCTCCATCCTTTGCCGAGATTGCAATCCTTGGTTATATCGATTTCGCTTCAATTATCTTGGCCATCGGAGTCACGGTGATTGCAACGGGCATTCAAAGTCACAGTTCCACTGGTACCTTCTCCGCTGATCATATCTCGTGGTCTGCGTGGCCCATAGCTGGGATCACTTTCTCGCAAGCAATTGTCGCCGCGAACAACATTGTCTTCGCTTATTCTTTCGCTGGATGCTTGCCTTCCTTCATGGAAGACATGCATACTCCGGAGGATTACATCAAGACCCTCTGGTGGCTAGGAGGCATTCAAATCGTCATCTACACATTGACAGGGTCGCTTATCTACGCTTTTGTGGGCCAGGGCGTGCAATCTCCTGCCCTACTATCAGCCGGACCAGTCATTTCAAGAGTGGTTTTCGGCATAGCTCTTCCAGTCATCTTCATCTCCGGCTCTATTAACGTGACGGTCGTCTGCAGATACATCCACGGAAAGTTCTATCATGACTCAGCCGCCCGCTTTATCAACACCCGAAAGGGCTGGATGACTTGGTTGGGTCTCATATCCCTTGTTACTGTTCTCGCTTGGGTCATTGCCGAGGCTATTCCGATTTTCTCGGAGCTACTGTCCATCATCTCGGCACTTTTTGTGTCCGGTCTCTCGTTTTACATTCCTCCAGTGATGTGGTTTGTACTTTTGAGGGATGGGGCTTGGTATGAGAAACACAATTTACGGCCTGCGATGTGTAATTTGGTGGTCTTTATTGTCGGTATGATTGTTTTCGGTTGCGGTACTTATTCGAGTATTGCGGAGCTGGTAAGTGGTTTCTATATGGATATGAAGATATATGCTAACGTGGGTTATTATAGGTTAATGAGTTTCGGTCGGGGGAGATAAGTAAACCTTTCACGTGTTAAGAGGTTAAGCTTATGATATGATTATGCGTGCAAAGTACCCTGAGGGCCTCATGATACTCTCAGATTAATCCGCCCGGGTACCTAGTATGTTGTCTATTTATTGTGTTGAGAGAAAACAGAATAGACGGTTGAAACAAAGGCATTGTGTGTATATATTACCTGTCAATATACATCCGCTATAAACGTCCCCTTGGGGGGGAGAAATTGGCTTTGTAGTTGCCATAAGCGATGTGATTTGATCCCCCACCAAATCAAAGAAAGAGGCATAATACTTTATCCATCAGGATGCCAATAAATAATTGTGCGTATGAGAATAAATGTCGGCCGAGCGGGACTGACAGGTTATCCTGCCCGCGGGAAACGGAATCCTTGACTTTTTCTTGAAGGAACATGTCTTGTTTATGGCTGATATCTAACAGGTATCGTCTCTTTTCAAGCTTCAGCTGGCTTGGAGGAAACAAATAAAATAACATAACAATAGTGCCAATATCAAGGAAAGCTTGCTTATGCACACCCGGACACAGTTATATGCAATGCGCAGCCTTAGCGATGAGGCATCGAGCGGCTTGGATAGACACAACCGAAAGAAATCGAAAGAATTGGCAATAGGTATCCCTGATTATTTGGAGTTGTAGCCTGAATTACCAAATGCTCATGGATGCCTGATTCCCTCATGGCTAATGAATTTCTAATTCCAGGTTGTATTGCCTACGGTCGCTCTGTCGGACAATTCGGGCGAATCTCCGACCGGATGGATGGACGTTGAGCAGACAACAACTTCAGCCTCATGCGCCCCGCGAGACATGAGGATAATTCCATTGCCGAGCCAAGCATCCTCACAGTCATAGTTGACGGACAATCCTACTGGACATGTTTCACCAACGGTCCAGTTAGATGCAAGACTGCTTATGCACTAAGCACGTTGAAGCAGGCATCACTGCGACCCCTGCAGGCAGCATCCATCACCAAAGGCCTCGGTCAGGGTCCAAAGCAAATAGTTGCTTCCCTCCCATGGTAGCAATCGCCCCAAACCCTCCCACTAAATCATGGGGCGTCGGTAAAGGAGAAGTTTCCTCTGCCAACCAATATTGACGGATCGAGCCGTCGTATCCGCCCCATCCAAATTAAACGGACCACCAATACGCGCTGGTCCCTGAACGGCCCCCACGAGCTTCTGTATGGGTCTTTTGCCTATTCAGGCACAACTGGATTATGATGGATTGATGCTAACAGAATCAGGGAATTTGTTCTAGAGTCGCATTTTTGAGAGCGATTTTCGGCCAATTCTACCGATCGTGAGCATGTTGTGCCACGAGCATAGTATAAATATGGCCGTCTGACCCGTCGAGGTTTACTTGTATTCCAGGCTCAGATCTCCAGAACACAAGTATCCGCATCATCATCATGATTCCCGCTATCCTGACCGGAGTTTCCATGCTCGCAGGCTCTGCCTACGCTTCGGCCGTGCAACCCGTTCGCGCCACCGGAGGATGCACCAACATCAATTCGTACTCCCCGGAGACTGGAACCACCGGCTACTTCATGCTTGCTGCCACCGACTGCAAGAACGTTACCGCGCCGGATCAGGCTTGCCCTATTGAGGGATTTGGTGATACCAGCGTTGTCTTCCGCACTGCTGGAGAGACTGGTATCCATATGGGATATGTATGCTCATTACCCCTTTTGATCATCAAGTAGTTCGTTACTAGTATTAACAAATGAATTATTAGATCGCCATCGGCTCCGAAAACGACGAGGCCAAGAACCCCATCATCTGCGATGACTCCTCTCCTTCTATCCTCAACGGCCTTGTCGAGACCGGCGTGAGCGGATACAGCTTCCAGCCATTGAACATCAGTTCTATCCCCTATACCGCGCTCATGATGTGGGGATTGGACGAGCAGGCGTCCGTCCCGGTCGACTTTTACCACCACTATGTGAACGGCACGCAGCAGGACGGCCTGTTTATTGGCGCCAACAATGTCACTACTTGGGCTATCAAGGAGTACTCTGATTCTGGATCGAAGCTGCCGTACTGGTTGTTCCGTCTGTTGGGGCCCGATAGTGAGGATCCTATCACTGGTGCGGCATTGGAGCAGGGGGAGTTGGTTACCTATATTAAGGTTAGATATTAGTTGGGAGGAATCCACATCTGTGCCTGCAGAACACGGGTTAATTGTTGGATGGGATTTGAGTTCCCTGCTCTATTAGTGGACAGGAGAGTTACCTCCCGCAGACGGGTCAATCAATATGTTGAACAGACACCCACCAGTTTCTCAATTAGAGTTTGCTTTTCTTTCCCAAAATACTTCTGCCCATGTAGATCAATAGTGGAGCAGACACATCGCATGCGGGATTGCATCACGCATGAACAAGTTCTCGATCTCGTGGTTGACACCTGCGGCAATCGATCGATCGGAGTTCGCATCTACGCCGCGGCGGTTCTTTTCGATCGCTTCACATCGCGATGAGAGGTTGCCTTTTCCTACCTGTCTTCAGGGGATAATCTCGTATGTCGTAGCGATCATTGGATATGTCGCGTCTGCGAATACAAAATGCTGTATAAAGGAGGGGTGAAATGCCATGCTACTTAGGGACCTGGCACGGACAAAACATCTCAGTCTCAGCACCAACCATGGACCACTTCGACGCAACTTCACTGCGCTCCTACCCGTCCACTGTCGCATTGGACAATTTCCCCCCCTCAGATGCGCCTTCGCCATGGCGAACATCTACGTCTTCCGCTTCCATCAGCGAAGATGAGTCGCGAGAGGTGCGCAGACGACGACCTAGCGAAATCCTTCTCGGATTCCCTCGTCCCCCTAGTCGTGCACATATCACGACAAAAGCTCTGGTTTCGAGGCCGTCGGTGAAGACACTTCGTAGGAACTATATGATTCACGAGCTTCCTCTTCTTCACCAGCCGAACCCTTACTATGACGAATCCGACGAGTTCAATCCTGTCTGTGACCCTGGCTTGTCCTATGATCTTATCGCACCACAGCACGATAAACAAGAGGCCCCGCCACTCCATGCTCTCGAAAAGATCGCTGATCTCGTCTTCTCATCGGAGCATATGCTTACCATTCTGCACAACCCGCGCTATCTAGCGAAATTTCGCGAATTTCTTCTTGAGGAGCGTCCACGCTCTCTCCACAGGTTGATTTACTACTTGACAGCGCGTAAGGCCCTTAAAGCAATCGATTACGCGAACTGCTTGGTGCGATGCTTTGTCGATGACGCTCAACCGAAATCATCTGTGTCTGCATTGTCAGGACAGAAGATTGGAGAAATCACCCACCCGGCGCTGCAGAAGCGGGTACAGGAAGCCTTGAAGATGCTTACTGATGAGGAACTCCCTGCGTTTATTACCTCGCGCTGCATAGGGATTACCAGTCGCGTGGTGGAAGAAAGGGTCAGGGGGACCCTACCCAAGAGGTTCCAGAGAACGGATGACGAGAAGGCACTGGCGGAGGTTTTTTGTCTTACAGATCCGTCGAGACGTGATAATCCGATTGTTTTTGCTTCGGAGGGTAGGCAGTCCCCTTCCTGATGAGCCTTTGTTCTTTTGCTGACACCTGTTGGTTTTGGTGGTAGAATTCCATCGCACGACGCAGTATGGCATGGACTATGTGCTTGGACGGAATTGTCGGTTTTTGCAGGGACCGAAGACGAATCCTAATAGTGTGCGGAGGATCAGGGAGGCATTGGAAGCCGGAAGGCATCATTCGGAATTATTTTTGAATTAGTAAGTTTAATTGCGTCCAGTATGCGCACATATGCTGACAATCGAACGGTGTAGCCGTCGCGATGGCTCTCCCTTTATGAATCTTCTGCAGTGCGCTCCACTATGCGACAGCCATGGTAGAGTGCGGTACTTCATCGGGGCTCAGATCGATGTCAGTGGGTTGGTTATGGACGGTGTTCAGATGGAGTCGCTGCGAGATTTGCAAAAGCAGCAGATGAGGGACGGTGTGGAAGCCGCAGAGGCACCGATTGGTATCCAGAGAGACGAGTTCCGTGACTTGAGTGAGCTATTCAGTCCACGAGAGCTGAAGGTCACTCAAGACATCGGAGGAAGTCTTTTCCAACCTATGACTTCCCCAGCATTGCGTAATAGCTTCCGGACAAGGTGGTCTGTTGCTGAAGGTGAAGAATCTGTCGAGGCCGATGGGATAAGAGAGAAAGATACCAAGATGGGGACGGCGTTGGTTGGTGTATATGAGAATGTGAGTGTCTCTCACCTAATGTGCGACAGAGTGCTAACTGTTATAGTATCTTCTTGTCCGTCCATATCCATCACTAAGGATATTGTTCACTTCGCCCTCGCTGCAAATCCCTGGAATACTGCAGTCCTCCTTTCTCTCTAGAATCGGGAGTAGTGCAGCAGTTAGGGATGAATTACTGCATGCATTGATGAGTGGTCGGAGCGTCACAGCAAGGATCAAATGGTTGAATAGATTCAATGCACAGGGAAGGGATAGATGGGTTCATTGCACGCCGCTACTGGCGAGTAATGGGGAAGTAGGAGTTTGGATGGTGGTAGTTGTAGATGATGATGAGTGACATTAACCGTCACTACTATGTTCGTGACTTGCACATGAGCACATCATAGTAACAGTGAATATAGAGATAAAAATGATCACGTGCTCATGCAAGCGTTATCCCCATCGATAAATAACATTTGTGACCTTCAGAATTCTTCTCATTCCTCATTCATTCCATAAATCATTTCCCAGACAGTATATCCTCACCGTCTAATGTTATCTACCTAGCCAGCAATCCCTCCACTTCCTCATCCTCTCCCTCACCACCCCTCACCATATCCTCTGAAATCTTCAGTGCCTCTTTTCTTCCCTTCTCTGCATTCACCATCCATACCAGAGGAATAGGCAAGACAATCAACACCGCAATAAAGAAGAACCCACTTCGTACCTGTCCGGTTGCATCGATAAGCACCCCGACGATTGCAGGTCCGATGAACGAGCTCCCCTTGTCTGTCGCAGCGTAAAGTGCATAAAACGCGGCTTCCATACCAGGAGGAATCAACAACCCAAAGAAACTCCGACAATACGAAGACAATCCACCGGAAACGACTCCATGCACAATGGCAAGGGGATATATTTCCCATGGTTGCTGCAGTCCGATCACGCCCCAGCTTTTAAATAGAGGGATGTATGCAAGCATACCATAAAGCGGGATGAGTTCGAACAACGCAATGCAGACCATGATGGTATGGTTGGATTTGAGACCGAAGTACCGGGAGACAATAGGCCATAGGAACGCTCCTGCCATACCGGAAAGTGTTGCGGTGATGGAAAGGAGGGCAACCATGGTTGTGCTCATTTTGAGTTCAGTGCGGGCGAAGAGGATTGCCGTACCGGAGACAGTGGCCATTGCGTCTGACAGGAGGAACCACGCCACGAGGAAAACAATGACTTCGCGGAGTTTGAGAGCTATTTTAACCGTTTTCCACAGTGACTTCCACGCGAAGGCGACGAGGTGAAGCCAGATGCGCCAGCGGGGTTGGTGGCTGCTTGCGCCCGTTGAAGTGGATTCGAGGGGTGGTCCGGGACGGCTGCGCAACCAGCGCCGGCTCACCATGGTGAAGCTGAACCACCAGATGCCAACGAGCAGGAGAACGAAGCGCAAAGGAAGCGTGCCAGAGGCCTTGGAGATCGAGGTTTTGGACAGGGTGAAGAGCAGCAGGATGCTGAGTATTTGGACAAACACTGCTGCGCAGTAGCCGAGACCAACGCCCTTGGAGGAGATCTTGGTGGACAACTGCATTTCTGGGGAGGAAGTGCCTGCTGCGCCGCCTAGACCGAGCCCGGTTGGAGGGCGATGGTTTGGTTCGTCCCTATCAAAGGATGTGCGGGCGTGCACGTATTCGGCTTCTGGATCAAGCCGATGCAGTTCAGCGGCGGACTCCTTGTTGCTGTTCTGAATGGAGGGGTCATTGGCGACGAGCACTGGTAGGAAGGAATTCAGTACGACGAAGGATGAGCCGAGACAGACGACTCCAACGACGACTAAAAGCGCACCCAGTACGAATACTGGAGGCGCGACGAAAACGAATAGCATGCTTGTTGCTGATCCGATAAATCCAAATGCGACAAGAAGCGTCTTGCGATTGTTCTCTATACGATTTATCAGCATTGCCTTATACTCCGAAAAGGCAGTGGGTCATACCATAGTCTGCCAGTGCGCTGAATGAGATCAGAGTCAACGCCTGCACCAGAACCGCCAGAGAGAAAGTATACATGGCAAAACTGGCCGTGTTGATCTCCAATCCCATCAGTCCAACCACACACTGCTCATTGGTGTCATCGCGGCGAAACATGGCTGGGGAAGATTCCTTGGGCGCGGAGGACGAGTCGGGACCGACACACGGCAAATGGCTGCTTTGGAGGAACCCGCGCTCACGGGCCAATTGTTCCAGTGTGAGGGGAAGGAATGAGCCTATACGATATCATTAACATTGCAAACACAAGGATGCGTTCAAGGAAGAGATTACACACCTACGCCGCATACCGCGAACACTTCAGCAGCTATACCATAGGCGTACCATCCCCAGATTTCCTGGAGGCTGGTGGGCGTTGTATCCTCGCCGGGATAGCGCGGCGCGCGGGCCTGGCCATCCTCATCCGGAGGAGAGGCCGGCGGAGATGCAAAAGCCATCAGAGGAAATAGGATTGATGAGCAGGGGACCAGAGGAACTTCACAGCAGGTCCATCAAGGGAGAAAATACGATCGAAGTCACATTCGGAGGTCTCGGAGACCTGCGGAGATGAGTCCAACCAGTGTTGTACTGCTGACTCAGCCAGGCAGTGTGCACAACTCAACACCAATGCACACTACGTCATGGGGATCCACTTTGGCTGTTCTTATCAGAGCAACTGATCCGATCGATCGATATCGGCTTGGCTTGCCGGCTTCACATCTCTTCATGTGCCCTCACTAAATTCCATGTCAGGCTGGTATATCCTTGTGCTTGTGCTCATGCCTGACCGTGAAATCTGTCGCCGTTCTGCACATCTCTACACCATGATTGCCTCATTCAGGGCTCTCATGTTCATCCAGTGAATCATTCTCTCACGGCTTTCTAGCCCCTTTCAGACGCGGGGCATTATTTCCTGGGCTTAGAGTATGACTGACAGACGGCTATTAAATTGACCAAAGGTAACACTAGACTGCTGCTGTTTCTATGGAAATGCCACTTAGTCTAGGGCAGCCGGCCACGGGCCGGTTCAGGCGCTTTTCCTCGACTGCGTTGAGCCCTTCTCTGTCAACAACACGTCGAGATTCCTTCTTCCTCTGTTCCTCCTTTTCACCTTCTTCTTCTTCTACCCTCATCCTCCAAACACATACCGTCTCTCTAAGTATTCCTTGTCTTGAACACTCCCCTTGACCATCCAAACCTTTCCACACGTCCATACCACCTGCTGCAGAGGACCGACACCATGTTCTCGGTTCTCTTCCTCTATTTGCAGCTTTTGCTGTTCAAAATGTTGTACTACGTTAGAGGCCATGACAAGAACCTCATCACCAAGTCCGCCGCTTTTGCTCACTTGCCTGTGCCAAATATGAAGCTAGAGGCTCCTGAGTGCGGGCTGCCCGGATGTAGCCTCCTCGACCATCACACCTACCTTGACGTTGAGACGGGAGGCAGACTTCCCAACCTCCGATGGACTATGCCTCGCTGCGGAGAAGCCAGAGAGTTTGTACTGATTTGCGAAGATCCCGACGTCCCCATCCCGTCCATGGTCTTCGTTCACGGTCTTTTCTTCGAGATTCCACCCACTTGCTTCGTTGCCTACGATGATGACGTTGACATGAATCCCAACATGCCTGGCCGCATCACCTTGGCTGGTTGGAGATACGTTCCTAACCTTCTTGGGTCGTCTTACATCGGTGCCTCGCCCCCCTACGGCCACGGTTATCATCGCTACATTTTCACCATCGTCGCGCTGAGCGAGCCCCTTGACATTGCCCAGCCAGACAAGGCCACCGTCTCAGTCATTAAGGAGGCCATGGCTGGCAAAGTCATCGGATGGGGTGAATGGTTAGGCACCTATCAGCGCACTATGCCTCGCTAACTTGCGTATCTGCTCCTTCGCCAAGTCTTCTCGGTTCATCTCTTTATGCGAGTACCTACTTTCAACACGTCTTTGGTTTACGTCTAGGAAGGATTACAGACAGCTCGTTGGGATGACATCTGGACAGAATGTGGTGGATTGATTGACCTTCCTTAGACTGGTCTTCTTTGGAGTGGTCTTCTTTGAACTGGTCTTCTCGTGACTGGTCTCCGTCTGTTTTCCCTTTTCAATTCTGTTGTCGACTTGACTTTTCTCGCGACTCGTCATCGTGTTGTTTTTTCTTTGCCGTTTATGTTCTCGACTCAATATTTCTCATGACTGATCACTCGTGTGTTGTTTTACATCATATGCTGCTGGCCTTAGTACCAGTCTAATCATTGATTGAGCTAACGCGTCGGAACCCAATCTAATTTATTAACTTGCTTGATCTCACATAGTATATAGGATACACCTCGTCCTCGCCCCTCACTCCTCGTCGTCCTTCACGCCCCTACACGAATCAGTGTTAGCCACAACCACGAACCTAGAATGTATAAACGACCTACCAGAGTTATCCTCAACTTGCTTCATGAACACTGCGAACCTCCGCATGATGGCTTCAACCGACGACTCACACGCCCGTAGCGTTGCGGGGCCCGCACATCGTCCCCCTTCAATAGCCTCTTTCCCTAACGACCTGAATATCTTTTGCAGAGTCTCCAACACCTCCAAGATCTTCATTAAGTTCCTCCCCAGTAGTGTTCTTACAAGCATCACCGACTCCCTTTCATCCAGCTCTATCTGCCCCAACACTGTCTTACTCCTCATACAGATAAATTGCGGCAATGGCTCCTCGAACGCCAACACTGATGGATCAAATAGCATGTTTCCCCTCGTAATATTATATGCTATACAGACGGCTTCAAATAGGGAGAGACATTGCTCCGCCAATGCTGGTATCATCACATATGATGAGTGTGGGCTTTTTCGACAGTCTTGGCATTGGAGTACATCCTTGCCGTGTGTATATACCCTTTGAACGATATCGAGAACCGTGCCGAGTTCAACAACGGGCTGGACAGTCCGGAGCTCCGTAATTATTTGAAGTCCATTAATCGAGCAGGGGCAGTTGGTAGTGGACGGTTCCATTCTGGTGGCGTGCTGGGGCATTTGGTGCCCCGTTGACATTGCTGATGTGGCTTCTCTATTGACGGTAAGTCTTATCATCCTCCAGATGCTGTGTGATGGAGGGCTTGGGATATGACTCAATCTAACTTCATACTTGCCTTCACGTGTCGTTCCATTCAAGTACGACCTCGGTGGGTGTGATTCATGGCAGCCTCACATTTCCGATCAACCTTGAAGGAATTGGCTTTGTTGGTCCAGAATATCTGGACAGCCTGTTCGTCGTGGAACATGTTGTCATTCGACCCGCAGTGGGTTGCACAGATATCGTTGTGACCGGTAGGCTGGTCAACGTATAGCAATTTGGCTTGGAGTGAATACGAGAAGTGGACCCTTGCTTTGGCGATAATCTGAAGGCAATACTGATTGCTTTCTGATTTAGGAGTTACGGGAGTTCAGAAGCAGGATACGGCCTAGAAAGGTCGTGGAAAATGCAACCAATAGTCGAATCAAAACTGATCACTACAAAGTTTCTAAACTATGAACAGCAGTGCCATCGCCTACACCCTGGTCATCCTCTTCATTTGCAACATAACCTCCTCCAACCGCCTCTCAGTCTCCTTAGTCAGAGATACGCGAGCGGACGATTCTTGCGTATAAAGTGTGATTCTTTTGACCGTTGACAGCAGATCCGATAATTGACTGTACAAGATCTGCAAGATGCAGAAGTACTTGTCACCAGACTGGACGCAGAACTTTCCCACTACCAATGGACATGCATCAATTTGACTCCTGAAATGCAGTCCACCACTCCGGTGCCGTCTGCTCACATTTCCTGGAATATCCTGCTTGCAATCCGGCAGCATATGCTCATGATACCCGTTGTAAAGCAGTCTTTGTGGATTCCCGGCTTCCCCTGTCGTTATAGCCTCCAGATTCGTCATTAGACTGTCGATATTGACAACGATGACCATGAGTATATCCCTCTTCGTGATGCAGCAGACGCAACATTTGAGAATGGTATCGGATACATTCAGCAGCATACGTTGACAGTGAAGAATATGGTCAATCGACATATACGGCCCCATCCTTACGGCGATCGACATCTGCCTGAACGATTCCTGGATCGTGTACTCGTGACACTGGAATTGATATGCGTGCGGCGCTAGAACGGCTGACACGGGCTTTATCTCTCCCGCAGGGAGGCCATATAGGTATGGTCTCTTTGTCATCTTCGCTTGAGCAAATGCAGTAGTTTCGGTGGCTATCTGTCTGGCTGGGAAAGGGTCCATCGTGGAGAACGGCAGCGACCAAGCCAGGGGGTCTTCCTTCAGATATTTCGCCTCTGACGGGGCGTCCATGATACCATGAATTTTCTCCAAGGTCGTGGCTGCGATAAGCGGTGTATCCTGAATAAAGCTTGTCGGGTTGTGCTTCGGATCTACTGGAGAACGACCACCAGTACTTTCAGGCTTGACGCTGCTTACAATCGAATCCAGCAGCAAACCTTCCTGCCCGAGATCGACCGGCGGGTTGGCAATGAACTCTTGCACCCAGCTATCGGAAAATAGATCGAATCCACTATCCGCGACTATTCCAATTAACATCACACAGCGGTATAATAGCCGACAAGTTAGTGACACTTACACAAAGCTGTGGGAGTAGCCTGATCCAAAAAGCAATCGCCCGGTAGACTTGGAACCGAATCTATCACACCAACAGGGTCCAAAACACTTTGGCTCCCACCTGCCTTGTCCAGTAGCAGTAGAGTATCATCCAACACAGTCTCTTGCTCGTCTTCTAACTTCATCTTCTTCTTTCTGTTATTGTTACTGCTGTTATTGCTGTTACTGTTCTTGGAACCGTTCCGCGCTCGCGACTCTTGCTTCCTAGGCCCATCTAGAAACTCACGATCGCGACGATAGTCGCTCTCGTCGTCGACATCTTTCTTCTTCGCTGGTCTCCCTAAACGTCGGGATATGCTGTAGACACAGTCGATGTGGTGTTTCTGACACCTTCGACAGGCTGGCTTTTCATGGCTGCAACGGATCTTGGCTTGTTGGCAGGCGTTGCAGGTGGAGCGGACTTTGACGCTTTTAGGCAGTGGATGGGGATGCTCGTTCATGTTGACAAGATAGATATATAACCAGCATAGATAAGAAGAACACTGCTACATTACTAGCGTAGTAATAATTCACAGCAATAAGTAAAGCTCTCCTGCATCATCCTCCAGGGGGTTACATACTATTTATATGTACTATAATAATAGTATACAGCAGTCAGTACTACTTACTACAACAACTACTACTACTAGTAGCCATACTAGCAAACCCAACCCAACCACACACCACAAATCCCAGCATAGAGGATACTATGAACTAGTTGACCGCCACGCCACGCCAAGCCACGCCATGATGCCACGCCCTGCACGCCCTACCACACAGCAACTACAAGTTCCCACACAGTAAGCAACCCGTTCGAACGGGACGACGGGTGGGTGATTAAGTCGAGGTTACATGGGCGAGAGAAATCTTTTCACGTTCCACACGACCCTTCTGCCACTACCACCTACTAGTCTACTACCCACTTAACTCCTATTTTTCTACCGCTAAGGCTGATCCCAAAGAAGACTATCTCTGTCGTTCTTGTCTCATATGCCCAGAAACTCAGATTTTGAGTTCTGGGTTACTAGTACTTGTCCTACCACCCTTCTTGCCCTCCTTCTGCATGATGATGATTGGGGAGAGACATGCTTCCCTCCACCTCCCCCTCCCCCTTACCCCGGATAGCTTGCTTTGTCTGTGTAGGCTGGACTGGACTAGGTGTTAATTGTAGGCTTGTCTAGTGTAGTGTAGTATATGCTTGTCATGAGGTTTTGTTCAGCTTTGGTACTGGTGCTGCTGATGATTGGAGAGTTCCCAATAAGGTAGGTCTATCCCCCTAGGTTGTGTTACATGGTGTGGTGCCTATTACGAATATGGTAGATGGTTCGTGCGTGCTGATTCATTCATTCATTTTTTTTTTTTTTTTTTTGTTCAGAAAGTAAGGTTTTACCATACCGCCTTGTTGGGTCGGATTTAGGCTATAGCGCTAGCTGAGTCGGGCCTGGGCCTGGACCTGGATTTCTTCGATGAAGTTGTTACTCATTGCTAGCGTGGTCTCCGTGGGAGGGTTGGTGGGTGTGTGAATTGTGGTAGTTGTAGCAGGAATAGCAGTACTAGTGGTGAAATCAGAAGTACTAATGCTGCTGCTGCTAAAATCGCATTCAACCCACCTCATCGAAGTCGTCGTCGTCGTCGTCGTCGTCGTCGTCGTCGTCGTCGTCGTCGTCGTAGCCATACTCATACTCGTAGACGTGGTAACTCCACACTCACTCCTCCTACCACTCCCAGTAGGTAAATCAACCTCATTCCTAACGTAAAACCAATTTCCCGCTACGGGCGTCCCCAACCCCGCTGCATCGGCAAAGAGTTTCATGTCGAACCCTGCTCGTGCCTCCGCTGTAGGGGGGAATATGTGCTCGAAACATTCTGGGAAGGTGTAGTTGGGTGGTTGAGTGTACAGGAGGTAGAGGTATCGGTGGTGAGAGTTGGTAGGGGGTTGGGGGCCGATGTAAGGTGCTGATTTTCTGGTGCGGACTTGGGGGTTTGGGAGGAGGATGTTGGTGTTGTTGGGGTATGGGATTAGGTCGGGCTGGTACCAGTGCAGGATGACGGTTGCTGTGGTGTGGTTGTAGAGGACGTCGAGGTCGAGGAAGAGGATGGTGTACGTTTGGCGAAGGGGAAGGTGCTGGGTGCTGAGGATTGGGAGGGGCTTCGTGTCTGTTATTGTTGGTTTAGGGGGGGGGGGGGGGGGGGGGGGGGGTGGGGAGAGGGTATACCGAGTATTTGGAGGGTGTCGCCGGGTTGGATCCATGGGGTGTTGGGGTAGTGGAGATGGAGGGTTTGGGGATAGTGTGGAAGGGGGTCGATGATTTGGGTACTGACTATGGGGATGAGGAGGGAGATGAGGAGATAATAGTTCATAATGGTTTTTGGAATGGTAGGTACCAGGTGTAGCGGTAGAAAGTGTGCGAGATGTCATGTATGTGAGCTTAGATTTGAGACTTTATTATAAATACTATCTCGCGGGCTTCAGTGTAACAGAACGGGAAATATTGTCAGCCGGTGATTATTGCAATCGGCTCTCACTATCACTATTCTGCTACCGGTCTATATCTCTCATCTGCACATCTCCATACCATCCCCTTCACATACACCCACCCTAACAGCGGACACACTACAGCCCCAACCATTCCTCCCACCAACCCGTATGTCCATCCAGTTCCCCAGCGTACCATGGCTGGATGCACTAGTCCTGTTGCTGCTGCTCCAAGAAAGCACCGCACTAGGTTATTCGCCGCCATGGCTGTGGCGGGTGTGCTGTAGTACAAATCCACAATCAGAATATTCATGATGTTGTAGGCTGCTGTGATAGAGAAGCTGATGACGAAGATGAGGACAAGAGCGTGGGAGAGGGTCGGCGTGGCTAGGCTCATGAGCGCGGAGTAGCTTAGAATAGACAAGGCTGCTAGAAGCTATGATATTGCACTCATCAGTCAATAACGTCATCAAGTAATGTCAAGAATGAGGGGTAACACCGTCAATGGGAGACAAATTTGGATTCGGGCCCGCTCAATTGGAAATGCTCCGTGGTGGTGCGCTTGGAGAATCGGAGACCCGAATTGCTCCCGTAGACGCCGATAATTCCAGTCGAGCAGGAGTCCGCTGAAGGTTGTGCTTAGAAGGGATCCCACGCCAGCAGGAACGAAGACCAATGCGATTGCGAAGTCATTCAGATGGTAGGTCTCCTTGAACTGTGATGGGATTCCAGCAGTGACAGCGTAGTAGCTGGCAAAGAGAAGGCCGTTGGACAGTAAGACGAACCCGGTTGGGCGGTGCGAAAGAAGACGCAACGTTGTTAGTGGATTAGGAAGGGCAATCCTCGAAGATTTCTGGCCCGTGTTACTGGTAGTCGCGGGTGCTGGATTGCGCCAATGTCTGTACCAAGCCAGGCCAGACTGGTTCCAGCTGTATGGTGAAATGGAGCCATCACCTACGATCTTGCGACATGTTTCCGGGAAGAAGATGAGGAGGGGGGCAAAGAATACCCCAGATGTTATTGCAAGAAACCAGAAAATGGCCTGCCAACCCAGGTACTGGCTTAGGATCCCCCCAACCAGGGGTCCAACAGACGGCGCAAGGATGATCCCTAGAGACGTGATTCCCATATATGTACCGCGCTCAGCGGATGTTATCACGTCTGCAGCCACAGCAGAAGCGAGCGCGACAGTGCCGCTGCTACCGCAGCTCTGGATGGCGCGAAGGATCAGCAGTGCCGGATAGCTGTGCTGCAAGGCGAGTGCGATATTACCTGTGATATAGACGGCAAAACAAAGGATATATGCTGGTCGACGGCCGGCTTGGTCGGCGAAGGATCCCATAAAGGCCGGGGCGAGACCTTGACATAGCTGTTCGGTCAGTGCAGCCAGCTGCTGATGAAAAATTCCACACGTACCATGTATGTTGTGATTGTCAAGTTAATCTGCGAGCTAGTGACATGTAAGTCTGCAGCAATGGAGTTCAGAGCTGGATAGTAGATGTTAGCGGAAAGTGGTGAGAAGCTGGACGCAAGCGCGGCGGTTAGGATGATGAGCCGTTTCTGGCCAGGTGTAAAAATCGAGTAGGGCTTCTTCGCGGGCTGTTCAGCCAGCAGGGGTGTGCCTTCGGTGGCAGGCTGGTTCGCTGCCACCAGAGTCGCTTGATCTTGCTGAATGTTTGACATGATCTTCAACTCTATGCCCGAAATCGGAGGATTTTAGTTGTCCCAGCCAAGATTATCTTACTTCTAGACGAATACTGCATGCTCGTGAAAACCATGATTTGCTCTATCACCTAGTGTGACAACTGACGTATATGCCATTCAACCATACTTACAATTTCGGCAATAGTCTTTCCTCTGCCTCCCCTGTGTAGATGTGTGATGGCCGCAACAACTTGCCGCGTGTCACTGTAGGTTGTTAGAAAGTCCCGATATATCCTACCGTCGCATCACGGCTTACGCATGTACTCCCGCCAATGCGCCATAATTCCCATGATCCGCTGGGCCAACATAGCCGCTGGGATGATCTCCGGGTCGAAGCCACTACACGTGTCAGCAGCGGGTCCAATCGAGCAACGCTTTCCTTCGGGCGCCGTACATGGCTGTAAAGATGAAATGTCCGTAGAAGTCACCGTTCACGTACAGCTCCCGCTCTTTGAAGTAGGCATCATTCGAACAAGCTCTCTCAATCCGCTCGGCTAGTTTAAAGAGCTTGTCTGCAGACATATCCAGATCCTTCAATATGGATCGGATTGGCGGTACTCGCGGATCGGTGCCTTTGTACGAGCGATGGCCATACCCAAATACCTTCACGTGTCCCTGCTTCACGTTGTGAATATAACCTGGTATATTCTCGGCCTCGCCAATATCCCTCAAGGTTCTCTTGGCGGATTCCGTGGCGCCGAAATGCAGCGGCCCCCACGCCGACCCTATGGCCGTGATCAAGCAGGAGATAGGGTCCGTCAAGGATGATGATGTGGCCAGAGCAGAGAAGACTGCCAATGCCATTCCGTGGTCAGAGTTGAGGATAGAAAACCGGCGGAAGCAGGACAGCTTGACACGATCGGGACGACCTGTCCTCGAGTCCACAAGTCCCGCCATCACAAAAAGATTTTCATAGTATGACCTTCCCCAAGATGGCGGCGTAAATCGTAGACCCTTCCGATGGCTATTCACAAGGCCAAATACCACAGCGTAGGCAGCCACAGTTCGGATAATTGCACGGTCGGTATCCTCAGGATTATTCCGATACATGTTAGCATCATGCGATGCCGGGATCATGTCAGGGTGACTAGCTAGACAAGCCGAAAGGCCAGCAACAATGAGCGGCAGCGGCGACGAGGTGCCTCTAGACAGACACTTCATCAGCGATGGCAGACGCAGATCCAATTTACTTACGGAAGGCTCCAGATCGTTCTCTGCACATCAACTGGCACGGCTAGCATGGCCTCTGTCAATTTGTGGCTGAGATTATTCCTCTGCGGCACTGTCGGATAAGATCCCCAGACAAGGAGATGCAGTACGTCCTCGAAATCGCTTTGCCAAAGTTGCTCCAAGCTGTAGCCGCGGAAAAGAAGCAAACTCCTCTCATGATCCCTAGAACAGTCAGGTCGTTCCGCCACTGCAGTGGAACTCGTACGAGAAGCTTATGGCCGTCTCCACAACAGTAGTATTTCTCAACCCAGGGTCATGTACCCTGAGGCCACCAGCGACCTGATCTGCACGGTCGGTTCCCGTTCCTGGGCCTTTGATTTTTTTGAAGTCCACGGCCGAGACGGCATTTCTCCGGATTGGGATCTCATATTGCACATCGGTGCGCGAGTCTTTGACATAGAGTATTCCGGAGGACATTGAATTGACGATGCTCCGTAGCGGGTTCGCTAGTCGAGTCCTGTGGCATAGATGCCCCGCCATGTTGGCGAAACTATTATTTTAAGAACGCCTGGGACCATGGCATAATTTCCCGGTGGTTAGCAAATGCCCGCAATAACAGATTGTCTCGGGTTTCCAAGTTTTCGACAGTGTTGCTTCCCAAGTATTGACCGTCATCAATGTTCCAGTCGTCCGTTGCAGCTTACTCGGCTTCTTGCGGAGTAAATTTCTCGCGTGTATGGCAGTTAGCCATGGTGGTACTATGCCTTATTCCGTCGTGGCACGCCATTCTTTAAGGGCACTTAAACATCGATTCTCAACGCTGGTGGCCAGGTCTCACTCTTTACAGGCCTCTTAGCGAGCGGGACTGGTTGGTTAAAGGGTGTGATATTCCAAGAAACGGAAGTGAATTCGATGAATATAGAATTGTTTCAATATTAACTACATTGCATAATATTCGTCATATCATAGCATGTTTTGTGAACCCTCCATTCGGTGCTTGCTTACTCGGGCATATTCTTGAAAGGCTTCTCCAAGTGCTCCTGGCAAAAAGGAAGCTTGCTAACAGTCCAAATCTCGGTATCCTGGAAGAGAAATTTAGATCAGTAAGGGGGCTATTACACGGGATCGCAGAACATACGGGCTTGAGATTTTTCTTGATTTCTGTGTCAAAAGTGCCAGCTTTCAGGGCGATGATTTCTGGGGCCGCGTCGGGATCGTGCGCGATGGGTGAGCCACAATCCGAACAGAAGAGACGGTGCACCGCATGGCCGGAGGATCCCGTTCCAGACCACTTCTTGATGGGTCCCTTGACCGTCAATTTGTCCTTGGGGACAACGGCAACTAGAGCTGTTGGGAAAGTCAGTAACCATGGAACGGCCTTGCTTAGTTCGAACTGGGGGTGGGTGGGAGCCAAGGAGAACACCTACAGTAGGTTGACCCGCTTTGACGCTGGCAGTCGTCACAATGATCGTACCCCACGATGAGGGGTGCGTCGACGTCCACAGTGTAAGTGACAGCCTTGCACAGGCAGTGGCCGGACAAAGGCATTCTAGCAATAATTGGATGGAGAATTTGGGAGGGTGTTGGAGAATGCTGATTGGAGAGAAGGAGAGACTGGAAGGCGACCAAGGTGCTCACGAGATGAGGACCCTCGAGAAAAGTGGAAGACGAGGCGACGTATTTATAGCTGACATCTTGCCCATCCGCGAGGTTGAGAAGATTATCACCCAAGGATCCTGGAAGAAAGCCGTTCTCGTTGACGACATGGCTGGATGGGCTGGAATTGGCGTTGGCCGCGACCGTCTGAGAAAACAACAATTTGTCATGCCCTGAAGAGGGGCGCGCCTTTGCGTCACGGGACGACCTCTCTGCTTCGTTCCTTCTGTTCTCCCTTCTCCAATTTTCTCCACTTCTCGTCCCTCGATGCGATGCACGGTTGCTTTCCTTTCCTTTCTTTGTTACGCCTCAAAAAGAAACTTCTGCTCTAGTCCCCTTGCTCACTTCTCGGACTCCATTTCCAGCGGGTGGATCACTCTCTCTCTCTCTCTCTCTCTCTCTCTCTCTCTCTCTCTCCCTCTCTCAGAGCAGGTTTCGCAACAGCCGCGGTAGTTACGGAGTTACGCCGGAATCCAATCACTCCCTCACTGCACTGCCCTGCACTCTCACCAATCATCCTCCAGCTGCCCCATATCAATCAGGGTGCTGATCGCACACTTGACATGCTGCCATCCCGAAATGGTGTGGGCGGTTGTTCCAATAGACGTGTCGATTTTAGTCCACAAACCATGCTGAACCGGATAAGGTGCAGTGCTGGTCCCTCTTTCCATCCTACTCTTTCCGGACAAAGATTTGTCACGCTCTACCCCGGAGATGACCGGCAATGTGCTCTGAGTTAGTAGTCCATAATCGTGGAGATTTGAGATTCCTGATCCCGAATGGGGGAGCACTGGCCGCCGATCGCTGGCCGACAGCTTCGCGACACGCGGGTCGGCGGGGGATTTGTTGAGGTCACCTCAAAGCCCGTGAAGTATCCGGTCAACCGAGCAAAGTACGCTTCCTGTGCATTACTCCACACCATGCGTGAGCTCCGAGTCATAGTGGGTGTGTGTGTTTGTGTCGGCAAAAGCAATTACCTGCTCACCGAATGCCCCAATTTGGGCGAATGTCAGATCTGCGCGGGGTATCCCTGCTCAACATCTCCAGTCACGTATGCAGCACAATCTCCTGGAAGGCTTGATACCTGCTTAGGCAGATATCATGTTTGATCCATGAATCGACCTATCATCTGCTGGAGCTGAAACCTTGTCCTCTGGGGCACTGTTCAGCACGGTATGTAGGTAGACATGAAGAAACTTGTACATCGTTGCCGAGGGCAAACACTTGTACTCGCGTTCAACATCACCCCTGGGTTTGTTCGATCTTCATGGCCTAGGCTGCACTTTGTTGTACGCTGCTTACTCCTGGGGCATGACGCTAACTGTGCAGCAAGATGTGCGATAATCCTAAAGGATGGCCCCCAAATAGAGCTGCAGAGAGTATGCCACTGCATCATGTTTGGTTTCGGCATAGAGATTCGGATGTGACGGTTTCCAGTTCACCATCAATTCGGGCTCTGATGCGGTTTCCAAAACAAAATAGCCGATTGGCATCTACGGAAACATAACCTTTCTGGGTAGGACCCAAATGCATTTGATCACTCTACATATGCGAAGCCATGCATAATCAAGCATCCCAGCCCAATTATTGCCTATATATTCTACATTCTCAGTAGACAGGGTGTCTAGTGAGCGAAAGGCATGCGAGATATGGAATTGGGAAAGAGATGTGATAAGGGCGGTCAATGATCGCACATGGAACAAATTATGATCGTATGGCAAGCTACCGACTGGTCTTCAGCCAGTCCATAGTTTTCGCTTGTCGGAAGCCACTCACAGACAGGGATGCATCTCAATGCGAGGCTCAGCTCATAACATTGACTTCGTAGTGCTTTGTAAAACATTCGTTGTGACTTGTTAAGCTTGCACAACTATTGTGACAATGTTATGTAGAAATGACAGAAGCTAAAATTAGCCATCCGTTCTCTCTTTTAAGACATGTCTTGGACTCATTGATTATCTAATTTCCAGATGTTCGAATATGTGGCTTATCTTGCACAGAGTAACAAATTGCTAGTCGTTATATTTGTTACAAATAAGACAAACACAATACCAAATTCGATCTGAAACTGTCATCATTCCTGCTAATAGACTCCGGTGTACCTGCTTGCTATGCACTATTTGTTTGTGATAAGTTCTGTCAAAATTGAGTCTTAGTAAGGTCAGCCCCGATAGTTAACTATGCATGTTCGATTTTGTCAGCAGCACTCTAGACTAGTATCAGCTATGTTCAAGATCAGAGACAGGTACGGGGCCCTCAACATATTGATTTTTTTACACTTACCTGCATCTGTGCCGCAATCCCACCGCGTGGATCTTGTCCGCCATATATTGTCGATTCAGCATGCTGAGCCTCTCTCGCATCATCCTTTGTAATGTACACAGAAGCCTCTCCCGGTATAGCAGGGACCCCAAGGGCCTCGTTACGGTCTGCTATCGATCGGACTTGCGCGGAGACGGACCCAGGGCCAGGTGGCTTGTTAAAGGCGCGACCCTGCATCAGATATATTAATTAAACATGTTCATTATTTCAGAAAGAGCAGCCATAACGCTCTTACCTCCGCCGTGTGAAGTTCTCGAGCATCCTCCTGTGTAATGTGGCTCTGTGGCTTCCGCGACAACGCCTCCAACTTCTCATCGAAGTTCATCTGCTTCATGGCAATGCTTTGTGCCGTCGCTGTGCACTTGGGTCAATACGACGCCGCAATGTCTAGACCTATGAACAACACCTGCGGCTCCACCGCTGATCGGCCCACCACCGGTCAATTCGCTCTCGTTCTGCGCCAAAGCAGAGACATCCTCTGGGTCAATGCGCTGGCCGCTTTCCACGGCGCGCTTCAGTTCAGGAATATCTGGAATTTCAGATGACATGATTAATTGCCGAATGACTACTGTGTTATCCTCAACTAGATGTTTACATGTTGTTTGACCCAGATGGATGCCAATGTTTATATGTCCGATCGACCCGTTGGGACAGCGGTGATGTCACGCTTAATAAATCGAGCATTATGCCCGCCTCATCCCCTTTTGCCACCCTAGAGCACATCCGGTTCAGGAAAGATTTATTTATGGATAGCAAGCAGAGGTATGGGTACAATGGCTAGTGAGAATGACAAAGCTGCTCCCAGTTTCTAGAAGCAGAGATTGGCTCAAGTGCTGTGGTTTGGCTTTCAGGATATCTCTACTAACAACCGAAGGACAGCCACCAGAAGACTCCATAATTGTTTGAATCGAGCTGGGCCCAAATACTACTAATTTTGTCGCTACTACCAAATAGTCTGTGTGGGCCTTTGTCGTCACTGCGCCTTCACAGAACTCTACATACAGACTTTGCTATGTTTAACAAACCCCCCCGGCCCCCGGCCACTGATCCACACCAATTCTCTCATTGTACGGTAATTGCACCTTGGAAAAAATGGCGATTTACACAGACTAATGGGTGGAATGACAGCTCAAAGCAACCTCCATTGCGAATCCAACGGTGGGGGGCTGTTTTAATATCGGGACGCCTTCAGGAACGTCTATATTCGTCTACAAAGAACGCTCTGCTCCACGAGCACTCAAGTGCTTCTACTGCAACAATACTAAAAGACACGCAAGCACCTACGCCAGTGTCACGTCACATCACTCGATGTAGCAGCAACCTTCTGGTGCGTCTGTGGCACAGTGACATCGTATTTCGCCAAGAATGTGGTCTGATATAGAATCTTAGGTCTAGAGACCTGGCCGGCAACTTGCAGGTCTTCAGTGGAAAAGCCACTACCCATGCGCCCCGACCCGATCTACAATCGTGTTACTTGAAGGGTTACAGTACTGTACCAACGGGGTGGTACGCTACATATGCGCTTGGCCGCATCAGCAACCATAGGGGTTGGAAGGAAAAGGGAGGCAGATTGTGTTACTGTTGAGGGTGGTTCAGGCATGTGGCTTTTTCATGACCTCATCTCAAGCTGGCATTTGATCCAAGCCACTGGGACTGATCTCAGATCATGAGCTCTGTAGCCGAATGATGGGACAAATATTTAGGAGTTATGGTAATCGGGGTATCCTTCCTTTGTTGAGGGAGAATATCCTAGCAGTCATGCCATCTGTGTGGAGGGGCGCATACGTGTGAGCATATGTGTGAGTATCCCGAGAAGTTCCAATGCATTGCACCCTTCTAGCAGATTAGTCCTCGTTTTTACTACTATGTATGTCTGGTAAAGTGGTAGTTTTTCTTGGTTGCATAAGGATACTATGTATGCAATTGGCGTCAATCATTGTTCCAAGATATAACTTATTTCCGTCGCTTCATGAATATATCAATGCTGGATTTCCGCCGATGACCATTCCAGGGGGGAATAGAAATGTATCTCATTATATCTTCACTTCGCATACAATACATATCAATGAATTTTAACCTTGGGTTGCAGGTGAATGAACTACTTAGTACTTTCGCAGGCCAAGAGTCACAGCGATAGCGATAAGCACAAGCCGGTACCGGGGATACGGGCCAATGACAGTATGTCTTCTTCCGGGTTCCCGTGATTCATAAAGCCGGTTCCGGCACAACAAGGCTTGGTGGCCAAGAGTTTCCCAATGGAAGCATTTGGGGGTCTCTAGGCAGCAAGAATCAGTTTGGATAGTTTTATGACTTGTTATGGATAAGCCCGTCTTTCTCAGTTCAAATCATTAAAGCATCTTTCTATCGCGTGTGGATAAGCCTCTATATATTTTGGTCCGGTAATGACGCGACGGAGTCAGTCCTCAGCATTACTAACCGTCATGTTTGTTGGCAGCTAGGCCCCTAGCACTTTCGATTACTCTAAGAGCTGATACAGAGTACTAAGTAATAATCATAAATCTCCGTTATATCTTGGCTTTGCACTAATTTTGCCAGGTAAGTTGTTACATTCCAAGACTTCCGACTTCTTCACATTTCTCACTCTATCGGAGATTAGAATGGCGCTATCTCCGCGTGCTGCTCCGGAGCCAAATCTTGGCCGTCGGCGTCTCCATCATTCATCATCGCAACAACAGCAGCATGAGCCACCGGATCATAGAACTCGAGCCCGCATGCAAGACGCTTCATTGTCAATGGCATCTAGCGAGCGAACGTGGGTTATTGTAACCCTCTTATATAACCAGTACTAACTTGGTTGGATAATAGACCTTCACCATCGGTGAAACGAGGCAAAAAGGCCTGCACTGAGTGTAGGCAGCAGAAGGTATGGAAAGTGATCGCATGAGTGTCTTTCTTACAATGACAGAATTGGGTTCCTGTATCTCTGAATGAATGTCTCTAATTGAATCGCAGGCAAAATGTGACGCCTACTTGAATCCCAGTCAGGCGTGCTCGCGTTGTTCAAAGTTGAACATCCAATGTGTTATATCGGATCCATTTCGTCGGGAACATAAACGCAAGTAGGTTGGATCTGCACTTGTCAGGAGCAAAAGGACATAAGGAGTGACCAGTTCACAACAGGCGGCTCTCCGAGCTCGAGCAAGAGACAGACGAGCTGCGACGAAGACTAAGATATACACAACCTGACCCCTCTCGACCCTCGCCCATCGCGATGCTAACGGCCGCGGCTGAGATGGGAGTTAACCCAGCAACTGCCGATGGCGACTTGATTTTCCATGCTCAGCCGCATACACCCTCAGTTGAAGGTTCGCAACACATATTACCTTCCCCTGGGCTAGGACCGTCGTTACCAGGGCCGGAGATGGTTTCAGGTGTACGTGCCCCCGATGCAACGGAGCCCCGTTCGCTGAACAACGTTTATCTTACCGGAAATGAGATAGACGAGCTCTTCCAGATGTGAGTATACCTCTGCCCGAAAGTGTCGTCCTGGGCATTTCTCATGCGGAACAGCTTCTTCCACCAATATGCTTCATTCCTTCCAATCCTTGACCCGGAAACCACTCCAAATATATACTATACGCTGTCACCTTTTCTGTTTTGGTCTATAGTCGGGATTGCATCCCGAACCTATTCCAAAAATCCAACCTTGCTAACCGCTCTTGCACGCACTGTGAACGAAATGGCCTTCCTTTCGATTGTATCGGGAAACTCAGCGTGGCACAGCATTCAGGGGCTGCTGCTAGTTCTAACATGGCCATTCCCGAAAGATGCCAATATGGTGGACGTGACGTTTCCATTGAGCGGCATGCTTCTACACATTGCCATGCAGAACGGCTTACACATCCCCATGTCCAGTCATGAGTTCTCTAAGAGAAAAAGACTTCCCGCCCCATCAGAAGCAGAAATGATCAGACGGTCAGAGCTTTGGGCTCATTGCGTTATTGTCTATCAGCGGTACGTTAGTGGTGCAGGATATTCAATTCCTTCATGCTAAAAGGATACAGTGCGTGTGTAATCAAAGGACAACCCCCTCGCTCTCTAACAAATCTGGAACCCGACGGAGAAATGAAACATTCATTGTTCCAGAGAATTTCTCCGTCGTTGGTACTTGAACTGAAGTGTGAGGATCTGAAAACTCGCTGTAGTACAGCAGTACTGGAGCTCGGGGTCCGGGACATATCTCCTGAACAAGAGAGATCGCTGGATATACTCTTACGGGCGTATGATGACCAAGCGCTTGATCTGGAGGCGCAGGCGTTCTCGGGTAAACCTGTTCATCTTTGTGTCAGCTATCACAGAAGCTAATGCATAATAGCGTACGATAGGTTTGCTACGAGCACGTGTCGTTTGAGTATTCAAATATTCCATCTCTTCCGAAATCCCAGTTCATTCTCATCAGGTTGTCTTGCAGCTCTCACAACAGCCGCATGTGACACCATTAGTAGCATACACAATCTGGGTCAAAGCATGGCCGGCTTTGCTACTTCTCCCATCCAAATGAATTATGCGCTGCTTCTAGCGTCCTCGGCGCTTTTACGGGTACTGAAAGGCCCACATTGGGCTACCATGGATGTTGACAAAGCCAAGTCATCTTATTTCACTGCAATCAACTTGGCGAAGCAGATGTCAGTTGAGAACTTTGATATCGCGGCCAAGACGGTCATGGTATTAAGCCAACTATGGAATAGCACCAAAGCGTTCCGGAAGGCAAATGGGAGTGAATACCTCGCTCTTCGGATTCGGAGCCGGTTGGTTGTCAGTCCTGTTATCGATACGGTGTGGTGGTGGCGAGAAGAGTTCGACCCCCAGTTCTATAGCACGGCCAGTTCCCAAAGCAATGCCCCAGAAGGTACGGCCATGCGCATCCTGATAACAGATACGCGCGGTTACTGACGCATCTCTCATGTACGATAGGAACCGATGCAAGCCGTGATAATCCAGGGACTTCAGGGACCGCGCCTGGAGGCTCTACGGACCGGCCAGATTTCTCGTATTTTGACGAGCAATTCCAGGCGGATTTCGAATGGGCGTTGACGGATGAGTTTCTCTTCGCTCCCACCGAACCGTATGGACCGCTGTAAGTCGCTGATCTTCGTGCGAGCTGCGAAAGCAAAGAGAAGAAAAGAAAAAGAAAAAAAATATATATATAAATCAGGATAGACGCCCATGATGGCAAAATTCGAACACCGCTACGCCCGAATTGAACCCTCGACGCCAGATCATCATTCGATCTGTTTACAGGGGTGAAGTGACGGGCAGTCTGTCGCGTGATTCCTATAGCCAACATAACCCACCAATACTCTTGAGATAAAAGGAGGGGGGCTACAGGAAATGCCAGATCATGGGATGGAGAAGCATAAGGTTCAAGCCAGCCGGTCAACCCAACGGAGCCCCGGGTAGTCCAGTGAGCTAAAGCAAACCTGGCATATGCAGTGGACCTACCGGACGTCTGAGTGCCTGGTCGTCGTATATTGGTGTGCATGCCCCTGTAATCATGGCTGCTGTAGGCGTTTTGTCCGGCTAAACTGTAAGCACAATATGGATCCCTATCTTGTATGATATTTTTATTATCTACCTCGTATTTGTTAGACGCGGTACCCACCACAGATCGGGGCTCTTGTCTATCTAGCAAAAGGGCTAGATTGGAGATGTAGCGCAACGGTCGATATTAACTCATGTCAGTGGTTCGTGGCGAGCCCATGATTCATGGATTAGCTGGCTCTGGTCTTATATCCAATCTTGTTGCCTTCGAAATTACTTTTTGCCCCTCGCGTTATCGGCTGATACGCCCATCTTCGTGCTACATGCCAAGGAGTCAGCACTCCATTCAGCCCTCTGGTGGCTTTCCAGAGGCTGCGCCTAGCTTTTTTCTCGGCAAAAGAAAGCTCGCTTAGAGAGAAAGTATGAAAATGCGTCCGAACTATGGAGAGTGCACAGGCACCCCGAATGGGAGGGGGTGGATGAGGGGCAGGGAAAGCAAAGGGAATAAACAAATACGTACAGTAGAGAAGTTGTGAAACGAAGGAGATCGGGCAGTCAGTCAGGCCGTTGGCGCTAAATGGAAGGAAGGATGACCAGCGGTCAAGTGATTACAGGCTAAACCGGTTGGTTGTCTCCTTCCTTTTCGCCTCCTTCCTCTTTCTCTCTCTTCTCACTTGATTCAAGTTGCTTCCTGATCAACTACCCCTGCCACACACACACGCACGCACTAAATCGGGGTTACATGGCATCAGCAAGGGGGACAATCCTTTAATAGTCAGGGGGGATGTTTCGAGAATGAGGTTCTACCCCCCTCTTGATGGCGAAATGCCATGTTCCATGTTTCCATGCAGCCCGGAAGGCTAACTGGGGACGGTGCATCCCGCCGTGCCGTTAGTGGCAGACGACGGCGTGGATAGGGCTCTTCCACACCATCCAACTAAGCAGAAGGCAGGTGCTAATTTAATTTACGTCGATATGATACACTTGGTCTGCGACTAGTCTAGCATGGACCAATCTGGGGATTGACTGTGTCCATTCAATGCCTAGAAGTGCTCAGCTGCTTATCAGTCTCGGTTCATCCTCCGTCCCCGCCGGCCCCAAAAACAGTCCGCGCATTGTCCAATGGTCGAGGCTGGTTTGTCATGGACTAGTGCATGATAACGGAAGAGCAGGAGCAAACGGTGGTCCTCGTCATGTCACTCTGGAAATGCGATCTTCGTGCTGAGTGGCTTCGATCACACCTGGATGACCTTTGCCCCAGTCCACGGCGCGACCGAGTCGATCGACAAGAATTCTGCACGGGAAAGAGGAAAACACGAAGAATGCCACGCGATGCGAGAACTTAGAACATCCAAGGAAAAACCTCGGCTAGACCAATGCCAAGTCCAGACAATCCCCGATTGGCTTTCGCTGAAGCCGTGTGGACGATAGCTCGAATACATTTGCGCCAGCCAATTCGCCGTGTGAAGCCCGCCGGCGCTTCGCTAGCTTATCGCAAACAAGCCTGGTGCAAAAGGGGCTAGTCCGCCGGACCAGACCCGGGGAAAGTGTCCAAGATGTCTTCCCCTTCTGCTGCCGCCGTATCAGCGTTGCTTTTTCCGCCGATATTCGTTGGTAATCTTTTCTTTATCTCTTAGGCACTGGTTTGCATTGGGATCCCTCTTCGTCCAACACAACCACTTGCGTGGTCTCGTTTCCCATCTTGCCACCACCCCAACCTCCGATCCTTTCGCTCACATCCGAGACATACCTCCGGTCAAGGGCACCCTTTTCCCCCTCCCCGTTCAGACTTATTGCAGGCACCCTAGTGGTAGCTTGTTCTTTCCTGGTTTATTCGCCGAATCAAGTGCACGTGTGCCTTTGGTCGCGTGTCAATTCCCGTCAATGAGAACGCTCGAATGATCATATCCCCACCTGGGTCGACTGCGATCGAGCTCTTCCGCTGTACTAGTAGTAATTCAGCTGGCTTACCGGACCGGACGATGGACAGTAGACTTCCTTTTGCCCCAATTTTTAGGTTCTGGGGCTAGCTCCTTCACCGGAGGGGCGCGCCTTATGCGCTTCGGTGCAACGTATCGGTCTGCGCGAAACTATGAGACTCACTCATCTGAAATTGCCTAGGCAGCCAAATTGCAAGGAGGGTAGGGATGGAAGCATTCCTCGAGGGCCGTGCATGTCGTGCATGGGCTGACAATGGCGAATGCGCACTCAAGTCCGCCACTGACTGGATCTACGAGCTAACGCACGACTGGTTCCAAGTCCAATCCAACTACTACCAAAGCTAAGACACATTCAGGTTACATCGGAACATGGCGAACAGACTGGGGTAACTGATAACTGGAGAGATAAACTCTCCCGCAATCAGTGGACGCCACCAGCTCGTTTAATTTATTTCCTAGTCCGATAAGGCGCCGGGTTACCGTCGGCTCTATTTGCGCCTCTTGTCGTTGCGATCCAGGAGAGGGTAAACTGAGTGGTTATATGATGCTTTCATCCGCCCCCATTTTTAGATTCCGTTGTTTTCTCCTCTGAACCAGTGGAAGAGTTCCGCGCATGCTCTATAATCTTCATTGAATCTCCCCCAAGCCTTTCTTCGTGCTTTCCCTCGTCGACTGCCGCGATGAGTGAGAAAGAGCAGGCTTTCAGCACGGCGGTGGCTGATGAATCCTCCCCGGAGGCAGCCACCGTCCATCTCAAGAACCTAAAGGAACAGCACCATTGGGATCTGAACCTTCCCGACGATATTGCCGATGAAATCGATGAGGCCCTTCATACAGATGACAAGGGTGCCCGCGTGGGCATCACGCAGGAGCTCCTCGATAATTCGCCGTACCCCGAGGTGCGTGCGGCCGTGCCCAACTACGATGAAGGAGGGCACACCAACACCCTTCGTGCCTGGATCATTGGTTTGATCTTTGCGACTATCGGTTCGGCGCTTAACATGCTGTTCTCTATGCGTGACCCCTACATTGTTATTCCTTCCTACGTTGCCCAGGTTGTCGCCTACCCTGTTGGTGTCGCATGGGCGAAATTCGTTCCCAGCAAGAAGTTCCGCTTCTTTGGAATCGAGTGCAACACAAACCCCGGTCCCTTCAGCAAGAAGGAGCATTGTCTAATTGTCGTCATGGCCAATGCTACCTTTGGTGGTGGTGCTGCTTATGCAACTGACGTCTTATTGGCCCAGCGTGCCTTTTACAAGCAGCGTTTCGGATGGGCATTTGAGATCTTCATGTGTATCTCGACTCAGATGCTCGGGTTTGGTATGGCTGGGTTCTTCCACCGCTTCCTCGTCACTCCAGCTGCCATGATTTGGCCTTCCAATCTGATCAACTGCACCCTGTTCTCGGCGCTTCATGATCACAGCAGGCCTGATCCCACCAAGGTAGCCGGATGGAGGATTGGCAAGTACCGTTTCTTCCTCTACGTTATGATCGGGTCCTTCTGCTGGTACTGGATCCCCGGCGTTATCGCCCCGTTCCTCAGTGTCTTCGCCTGGGTGACCTGGATCAAACCCCAGAATGCCGTGATCAACCAGCTCTTTGGCGGTGATACCGGCCTGTCTCTGATCCCTATGACCTTTGACTGGACGCAAATCTCTGGCTTCAACTTCAGTCCCCTGATCGCCCCTTGGCACGCCATTGCCAACACCCTTATTGGTATGTTCATCTTCTTCTGGATTGTCACCATTGGCATGCATTACAGCGGCATGTGGTGGTTCGAGTACTTGCCCATAAGCGATTCGAACAGTTACGACAACACCGGTGCGCAGTACAATGTGTCCAGAATCATGAACAGTGACTTCACTCTCAATATTCAGGCGTACAAGGAATACTCGCCACTCTTCCTATCCACCACCTTCAGTCTCTGCTACGGACTGTCATTTGCGACCATCATTGCTATTCTCATTCACACCGGTCTGTTCCACGGTAAAGAACTGTGGGTGCGTTTCCGCAATTTTGGCAAGGAAGAGGAGGATGTCCACGCCCGCCTGATGTCCAAGTACAAGCCGGTGCCCCTCTGGTGGTATGCCGCGGTCACCCTGATCATGATTGGAATTGGTTTGGGCATGGTCCTGGGATACCCCACTCACCTGAGCTGGTGGGCATTCTTCGTTTCTCTGATCATGGCAGTGGTGTGGTACGTGCCAATTGGTATCGTGCAAGCCGCCACCAACATCGCCATCGGTCTGAACGTCTTGACGGAATTCATTGTCGGCTACATCCAGCCCGGAAAGCCCATGGCCATGATGTTGTTCAAGACCTACGGCTACATGAGCATGTACCAAGGACTCTACTTCAACCAGGACATGAAACTAGGTTAGCACCCATCCCTCACCCACACAAGCCATACTCAACCCACTAACCCTTACCCAGCGCACTACATGAAACTTCCCCCAAGAGTCACCTTCGCCGCCCAAATGATCGCCGCTTTGTGGTCCTCCGTCGTCCAAATCGCTGTGATGAATTGGGGTCTCGCCACCATCAAAGACGTCTGCAGCGAAACCCAAGCAGACAACTACAGCTGCCCCAACGGCCGTGTCTTCTACCAAGCCTCCGTGATCTGGGGTCTGATCGGCCCCCAGCGCATCTTCTCCCCGGGCCAACTCTACTCTGGCCTCATGTGGTTCTGGCTCGCTGGCGCCATCCTCCCCGTCCTCATCTACATCGGCGCGCGCATGTACCCCAAGAGCCAGATCCGCTTCCTCAACGCCCCGCTCATCTTCGGCGGTGCGGGTCTGATTCCCCCCGCCACCCCCCTCAACTATCTCACCTGGGGTCTGGTGGGTATTGTCTTCAACAAGTACATCCGGGACCGCTGGCGCGGCTGGTGGATGCACTACAACTATGTCCTATCGGCGGGTCTGGATGTCGGGTTGGATCTGTGTACCATCCTGATTTTCTTGACCCTCGATTTGACCGGTACTAGTTTCCCGACTTGGTGGGGTACTAGTATTGCCGATGCTACTATGGATATGGCGGGTACTGCGGTGCAGAAGGTCTTGCCAGCAGGGCAGACATTTGGACCGAAGAGTTGGTAGTGAGTTGGAGGATTGCATGAGATGTATGTTGGGATGTGTGTCTTGATGATGATGTATGGGGGGTGGACCTTTTCTTCTTCTTTTTGTGTGTATATGCTACGCAGCTATGATCACGACCCCCCTATCTCTGCTAAGCTATTAGTGTAATCCATAATGTGAATACTTGTGACATATTTTGCTTTGCATATTGGGTTTCAATGATGATGATCTTCATTGGATAATTGTTTCTGTAAGACGTGTGATGGATCATATCATGGAATTCTGATGAGTGTGAGTTAGTTTGCTTGTTCACATTGTTTTCAGTGTGAGCGTTGAGAGGAGAAGAAACCACTGTATGAATAGACGCGTGTCAAGAAAAATATCAATAATGAAATTAATCATCTCATCATGTCATTCATTGCAAGTATGAATGCTAGCTATGTAAATATATACTAATCCATTCTCGCAACTCGCTTATACATATACATCAGAATCGAACCTCTTCCATCGTCGCGCCCACCCCCCTTTCTCCGGGAAATAATCTATGCACGGGGGACGGACGGCTCCTTCGGATATCTCCATTTGCGGATACAACACAACCACTCGTTCAAGCCGAACCAGGCTGTCTCCGCTTCATACCGACCTGCAGTCCGAGGGGCTTCCTCAAGAAACCCTCTCTCGTCTCCATGGGACCCTCCTGCTGCATTTCAAACTCAAAGAGACGGAACACCGTACCGCAGATAACCAGGAGTTCCATCTCTGCCACGTTGCGACCGACACAGGCTCTGGGGCCGGTGCTGAAGGGAATGAAAGCGGCCTTTTGACGAGGGGTGAGACGAGCGGGGTCCCAGCGCTCCGGGACGAATTGCTCGGCATCGGGGCCCCAGATCTCCGTGGAGCGGTGGATGGTGTAGCTGGGCACGGAGACAATGTCGCCGGGGTAGAAGGTGTGGCCGGAGATGGTGACGGGGGGGTTACCGGCGGGGATTTCACGGGGGAGACCCATAGCGGAGGTGCTGTGGATGCGCATGGTTTCCCAGATGACCCATTGGAGGTAGGGGATGTCTTTAACCATGGAATGGGTGGGGACGTCGACGTCTTGAGGGATGGCTTCGTCCAGGACCTTGTGGAGCTTCTCGATCACACCGGGCGTGCGCATGCACCAGTAGAGGATGGCGCAGGAGGTGTTGGAGGTGGTATCGGATCCGGCGATCAGCTGGGTCAAAGCTTCGGCGGTAAGTTCGGCGCGACCGAGCTTTTCGCCGTTGCCATCCTTGCCTTCCATGAGGCGGGCGAGCAGGTCGACACGGGTGTTGTTGGCCATGACTTCGGGGCGGAGACGCTCGTTGACACGGGCGACGGCAATACCAGCCAGGTCCTCGACGGCCTGGATACCATCACGGAAGAAACTGTCGGGGATGTACTTGGCAAAGGGCTTCAGGGCCGGGTAGCAACCCAGGGTGGCGGAGACTTCACCGCGGCGGTTGAGGACCTCGACGGCTTGGACGTAGGAGGGGGGCGAGTCGGGAGTCTTGCGCATCTCGGCGAAATCCTTGCCCTTGTCGAGCATGCCGAAGGGAGCGCCGAAGGCCAGGTCACCGATGATGTCGAAAGCCAGGTAGTTGAACCAGTTCAGGGCGTCCAGACTGGCGAAACCGGTCTTGGGGTTGCGCTGGGTATCGGCCATGCGGTTCCATTGCTTGACGAACAGCTCAATGTTGCCGTGGATGTACTGCTCGAACTGGCCGATGGACTTCATACTGAAGGTGTGGGAGACGGTCTTGCGCTTGCGGGTGTGCTCCGCGCGGTCGCGCGTGTTGAAGAGACCACGGTGAATGGAGACGAAGGCATCGTAGAAGTCACTGGAACAGAAGTTGATTAGCTTCCGGAGAATCGTTCCATATGCCAGGTATAGTCCAGGAACGAAAGTGAAAAATAAAACAGGAGAGGGCACGTACGACTTCAGGAAACCATTTCCGTGGCCGTAGACAGCCTGGATGGCCCCATCATCGGCGATGGAGGTATGACGGGGGGCGAGGCGAACGAGCTTTCCATATTTCTTGTGAGCGTTGTCGACGACGATAAAACGGTGACCGCGACGAGTTTGCAGGAGCACCCAGAAATTGGTGAAGGCGGCCAGACCGGGGGCGGGGATATCGCGAAGGTGAGAGCGTTGTAGATAAGGAAGGAGATAGTAGAGGACTAGCAAGGCTAGACCCAGATAGGCCCCGTAGGGTGACAGGAGCAGGGCGAGCATGGTTGTTTTTGTGGGGGAAAGGTATCTAGCTGGTTGCGCTCGGAAGTTAGCACCGGCAAATGCAGTGAGGGAGAAGCAATTCCTCAGCCGCAAAATGCAGCCGGGAATGTGGGTGCCAAGGAGACCAACTTACCTCCGAAGGGGAAATAAGCAAGTATAAGGTAATGAATATCAAAAAAAAAAAAAAAAAAAAAAAAAAAAAAAAAAAAAAAAAAAAAAAAAAAAAAAAAAAAATTGGTTGGAGAATGAGAAGATATCAAAACTAGTCCACTTCACTCAAATATCGCCATGGATGAAGAAGAATGTTTTCGTGTTCGAGAAGAAGTCGGTTTGAATTGTCACCTCTTATTATTTGAGTTGAAGCAAGGAACATATTTATGGCAGACGGGCAGCTTTGGATCCCCGAGGCAAAGACAGGCAACGGAAGGGAAAGTCGGGAGTCTCTGCTGAGCCGCGACTGATCTGCCAGCCGATTTGCAGCGCCGGTCCCCTTGCCTTCCCCCGCTTGTGCTCGGTTGTTCGTATATACTTTGGGATACTTTGGAGGAATCCCGTGGGGTTGGTGGGAGATCCTGACCCCAAAGGGATCAATACTTTGGATGGATCCATGGGGATAAATGGGGATACAGCCAGTGAGAGAGATGCCAATGGTCAAAACGGCCATGGTTGCTTTCTAATTATTGATCTCGTGACTTCGGGGAGGCGAGAGTTCCGGAAGCATAACGAGTGAATAAGCTGGTTTATGTTCATGACTAACGTGTTTATGTACATAGCTCGTGACTTGTGACTACTTACAGTGCTACTCCTGACTTGCCCCGTTAGGCAACATGCCCCGATCCGCCTCTGGGAATCCTTCCCTCAGAATACTATTCTTGTCTATTCCCTACCAGCGACTTTTCTCCACGCGGTACAATCCATTCTTCCGTTTCTCCGCCTCCCATCGCTCAATCCACGCCTTCATGCGCTCCCGACTTTTCCGGCTACCCACGTTCACCGTGGGGATCACCCGTCCGATCCGGAGTGCACAGCAGAACATGCTCAACTCCCGAAATGAGCTGTGCTCGCTGTACGGCACTCCAAAGCAGGCACTTTCCCGCGTACTCCCCCGCTGTGGCACCAGGTCTTTCGCAGAGAAGGGCGTCTTCCAATGCGCCGAGTTGAGCACCACCGACACCGGTGGGTTGTCCAGCATTCTTCCAGCTGGCGGTCGATACGTCCACCCCGTGGGTCGAAATCCCACCACCCGCGTGAAGTGCGGCTTCATCGAGTCCAGGTAGTCCGCCAGCGTCTCCGCCCGGATCTCAAAGAGCGTCTGCATATGCACCTGCGCCTCCGTGGGATCGTCCGTCAGCAGCGATGACAGCTCAGCATCCTCGAGGCACGCACAGACCCGCTGCTTAGCTGGCGTTGCGTAGATTTTGCTCTTCAATGCCCGCGCAATCCCCAGACAAATGCGTTCCTTGCCGATGCTGTACGTCCCAATCACCACCAATAACCGCCCCGGAGGACGGCTTCCTTGCGTTGGAGACGGGCGGGATCCAGTCACAGCCGTCACAAACTTGCTCAGCATTCCGCTTTTCCCATTGACTGGTCGTCCGAATGCTCGGCCGTTGGTATCATTGGCGTCTTGGTCGAGCTCAACGCAGAGGTCCGCGCAAGCTTCAATGACGTCTTCTTGGCCTGGGAATGCGTACTTAGGGCTCAGATAGGTAGTGTCGAGATAGCAGGCGTCGATTCGTTGCTGGCGAGCCTTGCCAGTTGCAGGATCAGTGATCTCCGGGCGGAGAAGGGCATGTTGCACATGCAGTGGCGAGGCGCGAAAGTCACCACAGTGAAGGACACGGTGTGTCCTCTGCGAGGGGCCGGATCCCATTGATTTCTCGAAAAGAAAGATGGCGCTCCCGGGACAATGATTCGCTTCGATCAAGGTCACTTGCGCTCCTCCCGTCGCCGGGATTTCCGTCTTCTGTTCGAACTCAAGTGGTACAAGCCACTTCCGGTCAACTTTCAATTGCTGGCACACCAAATTGGCCGTAGGCCTGCTGCAGTAGATTGGTCCATGGCGCCAGGACCCCGTAAGGCCGATGTAATGATCGCTGTGGAAGTGACTGAGGAAATACGCGTTGCACCCCTCGACGGCTCCGTATCGAAACGCATCCACACAGAGGGAGAAGCCAGGGATGATCTTGTAGAACGGACACGTCCGTTGATAAGCTTGTTTGCCACGGGACGCAACCTCGTTGGCCGCCGCTGCATTCCATGCTGTATCTTCCGCGTTGCCGGCCATGAGCTTCGAAAAGGCCGACCTCGTTCCTGCGACGCCAGTGGCATATGGGTCACGCTGCGCTGGTCTCGCGATAGCAGCCCGGTCGGCAAGACTCATTCCTTTCGACGACTTCAACTCCGGTCCCGGCTCCGGGTCCGGGTCTGGCTCCGCCTGTGGCTCATGTTTCAACGACTCCGTAGGCTTCCCATCAAGACAATCGTTGACATGTACCGAGACATCCTAGAACAACCATTACCACCAGCACCAGAGACACAATCCGCACAACTTACCGTCTCAGACAAGCCTGTCAAAACAGCCTGACATACAGGGCACACAGGCGCTTCACAGCCAAAGTCTTCACCCGGAATCCCGCTGTCGTCAAGTCCAATGTCGCCTTTGAAATCCTCATCATCGTCGAATGCATCTAAAAAGTCTTCTTCCCCTCGGAACTCGTCCTCTTCAAGATCGTCAAAATCCGCGTAAACATCATCGTCGTGGCTCGTGGCTTCTCTTACCGGTGGTGTGTCGACATCGACTGCGGGAGCCTGGGTTTCGTCTGCCGAGTTTACTTTCCTGTCCGATACCCTGGCCTCAATCTCAGTCCCATTCTCGTATTCCCTGAACTGCTCCAGATCCTCGCTCTCACTGTCCGATTCATCAATGAATGGCCCGCTGACTGACCGAGACGGCTTCTGAGTTGACTTCGATTCAGTGCCACTCTCGCTCTCCGTCTTCTTCTTATCCTCCCCACTCCCATTATCAATATCTTCCTCCAGCGAGATACCCTCCTCAACCCTCCTCTTCTTCACACTGCCCCCATTTTCCTGAAACCGTTCCTCCTCTTCCTCCCAAATATCCTCGGGTGTCTTCTCCCTCACATAGTCCCCACCACTCGTATAATTCACCACCTTCTTCGCATCCTCCAAAAACAACCCCCCAGCACCAGCAGCCCCATTGCCACCCCTCACCCCCGAGGACCCCTCATCGCCAGTCGTATTATTCTTCTCCGCTTTCTTCGCGAATTGCGTAATCCGCGACTGCCGAGATGTAGCCTTCGGCGGTCCGTCCGCCTTTTGGAAGAAACTGAGAAGGCTGGTGTTGCGTTTGATGGCTTTTGATTTCGCCGGTGTTGACCGAGAGGGCGTAGATGGTTTTCGAGGAGGGAATGTCGTAGGCATCGTTCAGGCTTTGTGATTGATCGTGTGCTTTCGTTGCTTTATCGCGTGGTCAAAGGTGGCGGGCGGGCGGATAATTTATGCGTGAGGGTATGGGTATGTATGGCGTATTGGGGGCATTAAAGCATATTCATACAAGATTTAGTCGTGAATATAGTATAGTATAAGGGTGATGTATCTGTACAGATGGTTGGCTCATACAAATCGAGGAGCGCTGAGAGTAGAATCTGAGGCAGTCGGACTGGTCGAATTAGCCAAAGCGGCGAAAAGAGATAAGGCGCGGGCGCGGCGGGCGGAGACTCGACTCGATTTTCGCGACACGAAGTCAGGTGACCGTTCCACCCTTTGGTTTCCATTTGCGGTTGTTACTAGTACTGAGTTGGAGGATTGAGAGTACTAAGTAACTTATAGTGGTAAGTAGATGGGCTTTGTGATTTGTTTTTCATTCATCTTGTTACTACTAAGTATCCGCATACTCCGTTCTTTTTCTTTTTATCGTGTGTCCAGGAGAGCTTTACCCAGTAAACTTATTCGTCCTCCCACTGACATGTACTCCTAGTAGTCAGTAGATGTAGTATGCAGGTGTGCCTATCCTCATCACCATCATTCAGCATCTGCAATTCCAAGCAAACCAAATCAACCCCAATCAAAGGAGCAGTACTCCATCCAGCTAGTCTGCTCTGGCCCGATGTTTTCCATCCACGCAGACCCTCCTCTCTATCTCTTTCCCTCTCTCTCCGCCATGTTTAACCATGGATATCAGCAACATAATAAAAAGTGAAACCCGCATGACAACCACAAACATCATCACATCGTGAAGATTAAATCTGCAAATCAAAGAAGAAATAAAAAGAAAAATACATAAAAGAAAACTTTAATCCCATCCGTAGAAGAAACCCAACCAACAAAGCGACAATCCATCAATCAAGGCGAAATCACCGAGCTTTGCCAGCCTGGTTCGCAGCTTCTGTTCGTACCACACCAATATTAGCAATCCATAACCCAAAACACGGTTGCACAGATACATCTATGCTCCTTCAATCAGATAGAGAGACCAGGGATGAAGCATACCTCTCCTCGTCGCATCTTCCAAAAGCCCAATATCAACCTCCGACCTCGGCAGCATAACATACCGCACCACACTGCCACGGATAAACATGTTCTTCACGGACGACAAATGCGGGTATTTATCCAGATCCAGGACGTCGACATCATCCAGCTTAATGTTCAGGTACTGGTCGACGGATTTGAGAGTGCCGCGGATGCGAATGTCGTTCTTGAGTTCGATGGTCACCGTTTGGTTGGTAAGAGTCTTGAAGAAGCTGCAAAGTAATTATCCCCATGGTGGGAAGTATTAGCCGTGGTTGCCTTGGTGCTGGTTTGAGGATCTCGGGCGCTTTCTTACCTGAAGAAGAGCATGGTTGCGGTGCGAGGTGGGGGAGAATATGGAGGGGTATTGATGCGGTCGGAGTTGTGATTTTGTTGTTGAATGGATTAGTAGCGCATTGGCTGCTGAAGATTTAGTAAGGAGGTATCGATTGGATCCTTTCCTTGTGGGGCTGGCGGTGGGAGACGTGAAGACGAGGAATATGCGATTATCTGGAGCTGCGGGTATGATGCTGCGGTTTGGTGTTGAGCACTGTGATTGGGTCACGTGATTGGCGTGTCAGCTATGCTGGCTATGACATTTGATCGTGGAATCAAAACAGGTTTGTTCTGAGTATTCTAGTCAAATTTGGAGCATGTTTATAGTGTCCATCTCCTGAAAGTCAAATATGCATGATTCAGGTATGCGAGACGTAGACAGCAGGTTCGCCGGGTGTATATCTCGGATTTAACCTACTTGTACTAACAACTTACTAGTATAGCTACAAAATATATAATATCGATCTGCTGGGTATCAAATGAGTGTCATTGTCACCAGCTATCCACCCTAGTGTCCACCAGCCATCAATCTGAATTCATCATCTCTCATTCCGCATAAACAAAGGGGTATTTAAAAAGAGCGATAAGAAAGACACAACTCCCGCTATTACATTAGATGCGCCACCAGGGCAGCTTGGGGTTCATAGTGTACCTTGAGCGGCCCGAATGAAAACTCGGCGTCGAATGGAAAGAGAATAGACGGAGAAGCACGGCTCAGCCTTTGCTAGATTTCCGTCCGTGACGCTTCTTCTTCTTAGGCCTCGGTTTCATTGCCCACCCCGACAAGCAGGTCCAGCCTGCACCGTTCTTGCGTCCCTCATCAAACACACTTCCAATGCCTGCCAGCAGATCTTGTTGATCCATTCCCAGTTCTGTTTGCAGTTTTACAAGCCATTGTTCCCAGATCCAGCCACCTAGCACACCCGTAACACTGGCGATATCTGCCGTGCTCCCGACTGGGCCTTGCACCGCTTCACATTCTTCAATGAGACTCTTCACCCTCGGATCGGGGGTCTCTCTAGGCGGTTCAGACTTGACCGGCTCAGTACCCATAGGTAGGAACATCCAGGCTCGCTTCACATCCGCAAAGTTCTTCTGCAAGCGACTGAGAAAGCCTTTGGTTGGTGTCGGGTCGTAACCCAGAGCCCTGAGACCGGACGCAAATTCAGCTGACCTGGCAGATGCTTGCGGGCCAGCACGTGTGATTTCTGCATCCATGACAAAGAACTCCAAGTAACCACCTGGCTTGAGGCAGCGTCGACATTCTTTCAGGCAAAGGTCATACTGGTCTTGAGTCTCCCCAGACGGGCATCCTTTCTTCAACAAAGCAGGAAGAGAGCGGGCTGAGATCACATCGAACTTATTGTCGGCGAACGGCAGTTTCCACAGTTGGGATACAGGAAGGTGCCGGTGATTGGGAGGTCCTTTGATGCCTGGGTTGACTTCCTGATGCTCAGTAAAGACGGTATATACTTTAACATGAGGGTACTCGTGAGCCAGTTGCCAAGCCCATTCGCATGAGGCGTGTCCGCCGAGGTCGAGGATCCGTAGTTGACGGGGAGTTCGTTTACGCGTGCTGGACAGTTGCTTCAGAGCAGGACTCACAATGAGGCGACCCCCGTTGATATATCTCAGAGCATCCATGGCCCACATCGGTTGACGAATTTGAGACAATACGGTCTGCTCCTTCTCAACTATGGAGAACTGGGCCTTTTCTGCCAGAGCCGAGTCCATTGTTGAGTTGCGAGGCGCCAATGAGAAGGGCCCTTTATAAGCTGGACGTTCCGGACGAGCGATCTCATAGTTTCCACGCAAACGCTTGATGTGCGCATCTGTTAAGCCCAGTCGGACAGACTGAACAGCATCAAATCTCGTGTTCCGATGCACAAAGGTGTCCCGACTGCCGGACTGTTGCTGGACCGCCTTGAATCCGCGCCAGTATATGGAGTCTCTACTCGCTAGTAAAGAGGGGCGAGAGCTGGGTGCTTCTGGAAGAGCTTTGGCAAAACGAACCGACTGCTTCCGGCTTAACTGATTGGGTGATTGCCAGTCGGTCTTAGGCCCAACTTCCTCGTTGTAAGCCTCTTCATCCAACATGTTCACGGGATTGGTCTCATTGAGAGCTGAAAGGTAAGAAGCCTGGGCCGCTAGCCAATCGCTGGTCCGGTCCAAACCCGACATTGCCTTTTGCTTTAGTTCGCTCTCATAGTCCTCGTCTCGTTCGTACTGATCGTCCGGGCCGATGGGCGGAAGAGCATCGTCCATAGCATCATCCTCAGAACATGCTTGATCATCGAATTGATCGAATAATTTGGGCGTCTTTTCCTCGGGAATTCTGATAGCGGTGGGTGGTCCGATGGGATCATACACGGCTGTCAGCTGTTCTTCTGTCGTCCGTTCGGGGTACTCTATGACATGCTCAACTACCTCCCCTTCGGTCCGGCAGAACGGTAGCTTGTAAAAGCCCTCGGCAGTGGCAGAAGTCGGCGGTTTATTTCCACAGGGGATAGACCATGTGTGACGTGCTCGTGGACCCAGTGAAGCAAAGAAGCCACCAGGTGAGGGTATGCTCAGCCTGCTGAAACTATACCCTGAGAGTTCTGACGCCGGAGTGGCATCGTCGGCACTGCGCGGGCGTTCTGGTGGCATACGGATCTGCCACATCTCTTCGTTGGACTCAGAAGTTTCCGACCAGGGATCTGGAGTTCCACCGAGGGAGATGTGCCTCAGTGTCTCTAAGGCATCTGCAGGAAGAGATACGCCCCGGTCAGATGGTGTATCTCCCCTTACTGGCTCCGCATCCAGGTCAATTGACGACGCGGTCGACTGGCCGCCCGGGATCCGTGGAAACCTGCCTAGGACCTGACGCCAGTCCTCGTTGGCGCTCTCAATAGCGATCTGAATGCTTTGGGTATCCGGCTCCGCCTCAAGATCTTCATCCTGTGAATCCTCTAGTTCGTGACGAACATGCACGTCTTGTGCAGTCCAGTCATTGTCTGGGAGGGATTGCAGGTCTGGAGTTGCTGGAGCACTGATGTTTGACACCTGATCAGAGGAGACACTTCCGTCCAAGGACGGCGGGGCATGCACGGCCGGCACAGAATGGGCGAGCATTGACAGGGCAGCTGGGGAGACAGGAATCTTTGGCGGCGGGGTTGGCGGAATCGGAGAGCTCTTTGCAGCACCATGCAGTGATGGCCACATTGTGGACGACGGTATCGTGAGACTAGGGTACCGGCTGCGGGAGACCGGAGAAAAAACCGAAGTACGCGTCGTGGGTGTCACCAAGCTTGTTGGTCGGGTGCTAGCGAAGGAAGTGCATTCATCACTGATGTCCGAATCGTCATCCGTTGCATCGTACAGGTCTTCAAACGGCTGCATCTGACGCTGCCATTCAGTGTCTGAGCAAGAGGAGACGGAGCCTGCGGATATTGGCGAGAAGAATCGAGGCAGTCGAGACACTGATGAAAGCCCGCTGGTCTTGAGCTTCAGCTGTGGTGGCTGTGGAGGTTGCGGTGCCTTTGGTGTTGTCTGCTTGGCACTGGATGCAACAGGCTTTGTAGAGTCTGCATAATGCGCCTCGCGCGCGTCCTCTACTATCGTATCAAGCCTCGTTCCTCGCACCTGTCGCAGGGGTGGGCATCTGCCCGTTGCGGGACGGTATACGTCCGTCATGATGCCCAAATGTGCCCGATGCTAGTCTTATCCTTCCTTCGATTACGATATGGCATGCAGGTTATGATGCAGTAGTCGACTTAGACAACGTATATCCAACGAAGCAGCTAGGGTATCTCGATTGCAGTTGACACCGATCAACGGTTCAACGGTATCAGAGAATTAGTAGAACGAATGATTACCCAGCTACCAGAGCTGAGAACACAATAACTTGACAGAAACACAAAACACAAAGAAAAAGGTGGTGAAGAATCCGACCGAGACGGGGTAAGGTGAAGATCACCTTTGGTGACCGGTAGCGCTCGCTCTACTAATAAAGCGCTGGAAAGAGGGGAAGGGAGGGAGATCTGGAGGGAACACCCTCCCACCATCACCAGACCTGCAGGAACTACTGCAACATTGCGCACAAAGCACCTGTAATCCCTGCCACTGGACAAGCTAAAGATGCTATCATTGGTGGTGGGATGATGGGCGCTTCGGCCACGACGAATCCGAGCAGTCGGCCAGCCATGATGGGCGACAACGGACGGACTCGGGAGGCAAGCGTTCCAATCAGCGTGGGGGGAAGATCTTTGTGTCTGCAAAGAACCGCCCTCCAGCCAGAGATTGAAGCTGTGTGTGATGGGGGAGGTGTTCGTGTGATTGGCAGGCTCTAAGCGCCCGGTGCTCTATCTTTAGAAAACGATGGGCAAGCGGAGATAGTCCAAGCGGTCAATAGCCGTTGCCAGTGCGTGCCATGGGTGGATTGGCAGTGGTAGTGGACTTATGAGTAGAATAAGGAGTTGATTTCGAATCATCATGATCAAGCATCAATGGGAGTTGATGAGAGGGGCTACTACTGTAGATATGATGATAAGCAGCGCGGGTAACCCAGCCACAGCCAGCTTAACTAGCATAAGCCAATTCACTCACATACTATTGAGCATGGGCCAGCTGTCGACTGCCGCAGGAAAGCACAGAAAAGGGAAATCCGGTCCGCGTACAGATCCCAACGGCAAACTGAAAGGGGAGATGGTTGAGTCACCGGACCAGCGTGTCGGCATCGGAAAGGATGGTCACGACAGGGAGGATGGATGAACTGGACAAGGAGATGTGCACTACTGGTCAAGTGGATGGGCCAGTTCCCAATTGGGGTTAAACCCGTGACATGCATTGGGCGCGAGTCTCGACCGGGTGTTCAGGCACCCAGGCCCCCACCGGGCTGCAGCCAAGTCTTCCCCCCACGTGCAATCCAGGACCCTAGCCCTTATCGACGGGCAGCAGATTTCCCTTTTGGGTACTCCGGAGGGATTGAACTGACGTCGACAGGCAAAAACTGAATACTGCAAAAAAATGGCGGTGATATCAACATCCGGCTGACTTATGGCTCGTTGCCCTTTTGGCCGTGATGGAAGTCTCCATACTATTCTTGATATCCACTCCCGGGTGTGGCTCTCCCTTCCCACCCTCCCCCCATTCCTTTCACCGCGCCCCTCGTTCGTCGGTGACCCGTCATAAGAATAATAATTGTCCGTAACTATAAATCCGGTGCCCCTCCACTTCCTCCATCTCCGTTGGTACCGCATAATACCGAATCTTAAATAAAATAAATCCCTTCTTAAATCCTCTTCATATCTTCATCCCAGAAACCAATTAACCCTACTACCTACCTCCAAACCTCTTCTCTCCTCTCTATCTATTCTTATCCACCATGTCCCCGCCAGCTATCATTGCTCCCTCCATCCTGAGTGCCGACTTCGGCACCCTGGGCAGCGAATGCTCGACCAAGATCGCCCAAGGATCCGACTGGTTGCACGTCGACATCATGGACGGCCACTTCGTCCCCAACATGACCTTTGGCGCCCCCGTCGTCACCAAGATTCGCTCCCATGTTGCTCGTCCCACCGAACCCCACGGCAAGGGTACCTTTGACTGCCACATGATGATTCAGGAGGTGCGTCTGGCTCCCTTTCTACCATTATCGTACATGCCTCAATGAATTCCAAGCTCATGCTCATTCCCCATACAGCCCCACAAATGGGTCAAGGACTTCAAAGACGCCGGCTGTGATCTCTACTGCTTCCACTACGAAGCCGCCATTTCCTCCACCGCCGCTACCAGTCCCGCCGACAACACCACAACCACCAAGACCAGCCCCAAGGACCTGATCCGTTATATCCACGACGAGGGCATGCAAGCCGGAATTGCCATCAAGCCCGATACCCCTGTCGACGTGCTCTGGGATATTTTGGCGAATGAGAACGAGAAGGAACGTCCGGATGTGAGTTGAACCTACTACATCCCCATGATCTTCCCCTCATCGGCACATCTTTGCGGAGCATACCCCACATGCATATACTAGTCTACAGTGGAGAGAGATGCTGGTTAAAGTTCAAGCTACGGAGCAAGTAACAACATGCTAACGCTATCTCTCTTGGCAACTATCAGATGGTCCTGGTTATGACCGTTCACCCCGGGTTCGGTGGTCAGAAGTTCATGGCTTCCGAGCTGCCCAAGGTCAAAGCTCTGCGCGAGAAATACCCTAACCTCAACATCGAAGTGGATGGTGGCTTGGGACTGGGCACGATTGACCAGGCTGCTGAGGCTGGCGCCAACGTCATCGTTGCGGGCTCGGCCGTCTTTGGCGCTCAGGATCCCGCCGACGTCATCGCTAAGCTCCGCGAGACTGTTAACAAGTATCGCAAGGAGTAAACTGAAATGAATAATAATCCAATAAATAATAAGAATAGAAGAGGGGGGAAGGAAACCATAAACAAAAGTTTTCCGGTTCATGTGACACGATTTTCGTTGCGATCGCTCGCATTTCTTATTTGTTCTTTGCGTTTTCTAGCTTCTTCCTGGCGCCTTACAGAATTCTCATGGGCCCTTGTTCGGGTGTTTTCCCTGTCGACATGTGATGAGCGAAAAAGGGTCAAAGAGTATTTGATCGGTTACGGGCGGATGATGCGCGTTCAGGCATATTTAGAAGGTTATATGGGTTGGGTATACGGATCGGATAGAGTAGGTAGACAGCGGGATCATCAACTATGTATGTAATGGGAAACGAGTCCAGTTCGAACATATACAGCATTGAAAGCAAGTTACAAAGAAAGAAATAAACAGCAAGCAAACAACAGTAAAAGCTGGTATCTTTACAGGGAACGAAGATAAACGGTAAGAGTTTCGCGATAACCGAAACTAGGACGCTTGAGTCGTATTCGTCGTCTCAAAATGAATGCAACCGCAAAACCCCGGCCGTTGACTTTGGCAGCCCGCGCTTTCTGTCGACCGGGGTCCCATCCTGGGTTTCACCACCAATCCTACTCTTCTTCGATCGTCTCCTCCTGATCTGTCCGCGCCGCATTATCCTCCCTCAAGGATTTGAGAAGATCCTGTTGACCCCCGGAAATAGACTTCCGCAAGTCCTGTGCAACTTTTTCTTGTTCTTCTTTGGATGTGGCGGATATGATGGAGCCACGGTGGTGCTGAACCATTCCTAAAGCTTCAGCAGCATCAGCATGAAAATTAGCAGACGACTCTGCAGCTACCTCGGGCACGAGAGGCGGCCGCCTAGGCTTGCTAGCCTGAGTATCGGGAGCAGCCTCGTTCCCACGTACAGTATCTTCCTTGCCTGCCTCGGACTGCTCGCCAGCCGCAGGGGTCTCTTTCGGAGTCTCTTTTTGTTCTGTAACAGCCGGGGTAGGTTCCTTTGCTGGGGTAGGTTCCTTAGCCGGGACAGGTTGAGTGCCGCTACCCTTAGCTTTGGCAGCGGCCTCCCCGCTAGCCTGGCGCATAGCAGCCGTGATGGCAGTGTCTTTCGGGGTCTCTTTGGAAGGGGGGCTTTGAATCTTGATTGTGCTCTGTTTGAGGGTAGTGGGTTCGGGGGTGGGGGTAGATGCGGCCGAGGGGGGTGCGATCGGAGTACTAGTAGCGGGAATACTGTCGATGTCTTCGACACTGTTAACCTGCATCCTCAGCTCACCATACTCATTCCATTCTTCAACTTGCTCCAAGTCCTGTTGTTTGAAGGATGTTAGCTGGTAGTCCCCCGTCTATATTGTGCTTCCGTCGCTAGTAGCCACCTAGCCTCTCTGCGCTGGGATGAGGGAGGAATACGTACTCCGACAACAGTGCCGAATTTCACCAAGCCAGGGAGTTTCTTGCCCTTGGAGCGACGGCCCCAGAGCTTCCTGGCTACTTCGTCCGTGGCCACATCGATTGCGCGGAAGGGGAGCTTGTTGGCTTTGAGAATCGTCTCCAGGCGTGCCGTTGCGGTGACGATATGGGACGACCCCGCAGTCAGGGAGGTGTAGAGATAGAGGGTGGGATCGGACATGTTGATGTACAAGGAGAGATAATCCGATCGTAGGGGTGAAGAACGGGGAAAAAACAGATGGTGGATGGCGAAAGAGAGTATATCGAACGGAGAGAGTGAGAGGAAAGTATTAGGACGAGGATGAGGGGAAGAAGACGAGGATGACGATCGCTTTTGATGGAGGCCCGCTTCCCCTTTTGCAGCAGCGCGACGGCGCGCCTTCCCGATTGTTCTTTCTTTTTTAAGGGGCAGAAAAGTGAGGGAACTGCGCTTCACCGCCGAATGACGTGGCTTCCTGAGGCCAGCGAAAGATAGGTCACGTGGAATGGTGGTCCATGCAGTTTCGAGTAGATTATTGGAAGAGAGTAAATTGACAGAAAATGAATTAATTATTGGATTGACCCTTTCATTGTCTGGTGAATATATTCAGCTGGAAAGAAGGTGGAGGATGCGGCGCAAAGAGGCAAGAGTCGACCCTATATAATCGGCCCTAGTGATTACAGACTAATGTCATGACAGCCTCTTTGCAATTGTGGGGGATCTGATTCCAGGGTGGCAATCTGACGTCAGTGCATCTTTCTCGTCACTATCTCACAAAAGAACTATGGTCCTTTCTTCCTCATTTTGTACCAACTACACACCAGGCTTTTCCTCCACTCTCCTCTCGGTACCATCCGACCTCTTCTCCACCTTCGATCGGCTGCTTCCAAGGTCATTTTTCTCGCGCTTTTGCCTGCGCAATGGCAGGCCCCGAGTCGACACTCCAACTGAAAAAGTGGGTGCAGTCTTCGATTGTCGCAAGATAAGTGGCACATCTGATGTCACGGTCCCATTGATCGTACAGGGCCCAAAAGTGAGCTATCGCAGTTCCAACGGCCCATGACTTCATCGTCTAGCTGTTCGCCAGCTCTCTTGCAAATCTTCAAGCATTGTCGCTGAACCAATTTTGTCTCAAATCAATACAATGAAACGTCTGCCGGTGAGTGCACGAAGGTTTGCATATGGCCCGCGTGAGTTGCATATGTCGACTGGCTGCGTATATGATGCAAGTGTAGAAGAGGCCAAGAAGCATCCGATATGCCTCAACGCCTGTTTGGTATGGTGGTATGATTGTTGCGCAATGACCACATAGCTACGCCGTTGGAGACGGCTTCGAGGAGGGCTGCAGAACACTACTTCACAGGGATTGGAGCTATAAAATACCATGTAGATGGTGGCGAGGTGGGACTACTTGAACGTCAAATCTACTAAAGTACGCCCCTATCAGATCGGCAATCTCACAAAACATGGATTTTTTTCTGTCGCGTATTGTGTACTATATTAGATTGGCAGTCCCGGTCCCTTGGACTTGCCTTCGAGACAACTTCGCCAGATTGTTTCTCCCATCATCCCTCATAGTAGCCGGTGTCTTTCCCCAGATTTACCTCACCATCAGCTCTCGGGTGAGCCCTCTCAACACCCACCATTGACGAGCAACACGGCTCTTATAGTTGTGCATAGAGCCGTTTCATGTACCACGAAGTACTCCGTCACTTCAATACCAGGCAATAACCAATGACCTGATAACCATGCACATTAGTACGGAATGAAGTGAAAAGATGTCATAGTATTATACATATTCGTGCATTACTAGTACTAGCATGATGACGCTGACGCCTCCAATCGCTGCAGTCGACACCATGAATAAAGTTGAAAATGCTTTGAACATAACACCGAGGCCCCCGAACCAATCGAAATAGTGTTTCCACAACGAATTATATGGTGGTAAGGTAGGACCGCAGGTATAGTGCGGACATCGAAAGGATGTCACAAATTCGATAGAGGCCTGTTATCATGAAAGAAATACCGATTGTCCCCCTTGCGAACTCAAGAACTCAATCGAATTTGCAAATGGCGAAGATTGCGAGGATTATTATAAGATGGCCGCAAGACAATAAAATATCGAAATGCTAGAGTCTGAGGACCTTATGCAACAGGAAGAGCCAGCTTTTGAAGATATTTTTCCGAAGTTTCGGTAGAAAAGTCACAGCGACATCGCCTCATGAAGTGACTTGCCTCCAGAACTGATTGAGGGTCTGTATTGGTGTTATCAACTGTCACCCTTTTAGATAAAACGAAGACTTTTGAATAAATTAAGCTTATCCGATTCTCCTGATGCCAGAGTTCCGCTAACATTTGGAAGTAGAAACGGAAGGATGCAGACTATTCTAGTAGTAACAACAGCCAGAGCTATCTGAAGTAACAGCCTGATGATGACTGCTCCGATGGTATTATCGACGTACCTGCCTATTTTCTACTCTTATCACCACACTGCAAAGTATACCACAGTGTATGCCATCACAACCTCACCATTTGCCTACCGAAGCGAATGTGACAATATGAAAGCATACTGATTTGAATCAAATGCAGAGTAATGTGGCGCAGATGTCGACATCAACGCGGTGGCAGAAATACTGTATCAAACTTCCTTGTGAAAGGGACAGTGTCGCGAAGACAAGCGAGAATAGCCGATGGCCAGTCTAGAACCGCTTGAGCTAAAAGAATGGTACCTCTCCTCCAAAGTCTTGCACCTCGTACGTGGCTGAGGATTACTCGGCGTACAGAGTACTCATCATACTAGCTACACCGATCTGCAAGGATCTATCTGACAACTAGAGCTGACAAGTCTAGCCTAGAGATGCGCCATTTGGCGTTGCAACGGAGCATCACCACAGCCACTTGGACGAAACAAGGCTCAGCGGTTAATCCTTCAGGCAATGCGAGGCTTAGCAATAAAGCAGCAAAGCAACGATTGAGGAAGTGAGACCATCCACAAATATTCGACTTGTTCAGCCGCGTCATCATGGAATTTTCAATGTGGGATCCAATCAAAGACACAGATTCGGCCCAGGGCATAGAATGCCGTTGCCTTTGGCGGTCATAGCACCCATTCAGGCGAGGACAACGAGCTGATATTTGGCCCAGCGGCTGGCTAAACGCCGTTCCAGACTCGCTTTTGAAGGACGCCCAGGCCTGCCTGTGGCGGGCTGTCCGAAACTTGGTGAATTGCACGTATAGGCAGTCCTTCCTAGCTGTCAATACACAGAAGGATCGGCCCAAACAAGGATAACTGGTGTTCGTATCAGCATGGATCAATCGGCCAGATCATTTGAAACATACCGAGCGTTCAGATGCCCTGGCCAACCGGGCCTACGCAGTCCCAGCCAGTTGGTGGGCTTCATGAGATCTCACACATCGAGGGTTGATCTCGCCTCTTCTGTCCCGTCTTCCAAGCCATTATCGTTGCCCGAATCTCCAGTCTCAACCCATAGCCTGACTCGATCACATCCTGAAAAGGGATCGAGTAAGGCAGAAAACTGACTAATTAGGACTGGTTGGGCATGGGCGGCAGCCGTTTCCGATCACCCCAGCGAAGATGTTGTCATAGTGGTTTCAAGTAAGATGATAAGTTTAGCCTTTTGGCGCGAAAAAAGAGGTGGGTGTTGGTGACCTAAGTAACTAGTAGACTAAGTGCAGTGACCTGAATCCTTTCGACCGTCCGCGTTTCTATGGGAAGGGCGGGTGGCCCAACAGCTCCGGCCTCAAATCTTAAATGATTCGCTGTCAGTTGCAGTTTGGCAAGATAGCGCCAACCGGGCGTACCATGGAACCTTCCAATGTTCGGTAACTGTCCCAAGTCTAGATACTTTCCCCTTTCGACCCGAAAAAATAATAATTATAATAATAATAATTGAAAACCCAAACAAAAATAACAAGCAAACAGACACAATCACCAACTACCTAACTACTATTTCTCAGGGATTAAAATGTCAGCTTTGCAAGGTCCTTGGTTCGGAAATAAGTTGGCGTGACAACTGCCCAAGTCAGGCATACACTAAAACCTGGAGAGAGGAAAGAGAGAGACAGAGAGAGAGGAGGCGGGATTCTCAACCCAAAAACTTTCTTCCCTGCTTTTTCCACCATCAACCGGCAGCACACACTGCTGCTGTATGCGGATCCTGCATGGAATCACAGATGGTACGAACTAGTGGACCACTTTGAAAGCCTTTTCCAGCCTATCATCCCACCCCCTTCAGGGAAATTGGACGATCACAGAACGTCTAGCGGGCCCGCCGATCCCCTGGCCCATCGAATAGGGGTGCTTTGCTACCACCGACCATGACGCCCACGGAATAGCGTCACGCATCTATTTTTGTCCCCATGTCGTTTTCTGTTCTTTCCCCTCCCTTTCATCCATCATTATCATCATCATCGCTTCTCCAGACAACGCCCAAGTCGATCGGGGCCAAGGCACGAAAAAGTACCTGCGTACTAAACATAATCTAAGAAAGCAGGCAGGCATCGATGAACATTGTCGCCCAGCTGGCTTCACTAACACTAACTAACTTACATCCTACAACAAATCTAGAATGTCCGCCTAAGACTTATCACAGTGCATTGGTGTGAACTGTGAAAACAAGTTGTGAGCGCAGCGAATGCTAGCTAGCTAATAATTTAGTTTAGTTTGTTAGTTCCATCAACTTGTCATTTGATGCCAGCCAGGAGGAGAGGACCGTATGATCATCATCTCCATTGTCTCCATATACTTAGTTTCCAGTTGTTCTATACTAGGTAGTTGCTTTCTATTCATCGCTTTGACTTTTTCTATCAATGCATTCTCTCTGCTTATTTCCGGTAGCCGACTCATTCCCGCTCCTCCGTACTGGCTGAGAAAATTGTCGCATTGTTGCATAGTATCTTACTCTTACTCTCGGATGCGTGAAATGAAATTGCTCGTGAAATCCCGTTGTTCCCGGACTTGGTGCTATATTTGGTAAGGTAGGTAGTGATCCGTAGTTACTTATCGCCCTCCACTTTCTGGAAGACGGGCTAAGGATAGGATTTCTTGTTTTGGTTGTAGAGGGGAATTTTAGTAGATACTTACATCGTATACTAAGTGGATGGGGATGGCTACTATTATTGACTAGATGGTAAGTATTCGTTATCGAAGTAGTTATCACGTGGTATGTTGGTACTAAGTATGGTCTGTCATCAGGACTCTACTCATAAGCTGTGCACTTGGTATTGCTATTCTTGGAGTTGCTTTTGATGGTGTAAGATACTAGTAGTTATCCTTTTGTTGTTATGATCATGATACTTTCACTGGCTTCGCTTGCTCTGGCGCGACTGGTTGAATACTACTCTTGTATACATAGTACTACTTTAGATCCGATCAGTGGCACTAGTACGGTGTTCAATATATACGATCTGTAACGGATTTAATTCTTGTCAATTAGAATATCGTGCTATCGCATTGTGTTTGCCTGCCAGCAACGATGTGTATTTCGCAGAGTAGCTGGGAGTTGGTGAAGAATGTGTCCGTATCGGACGATAGGAAAAATGGTGGGGGGGATGGGAAAACTGAAGCGGGATGAAGTCAGGAGGGGCAGAACTGGCAATGACGCAATTCATCGCCGACATACTACTATGCTCG